TACAGAAGATAAGATTCAAATGACCATTGTCGACAACATCTGGCCTGGGTAACGGACACGTCGCGTGCGTTCGTGCAGCGGAATGTTGTTGAATTTAAAGATTTTAATTATGCAGATATTTAGTGTATGACGTCGTATAATTGTGTACGGTAAAAAAAAATTTGTGCACGCAACCATTGTGGAGAAATTCACCAAAAACTGATTCCGCTGGGCGAACGTTGTCCTGGCGGAACTTTTTTTAATCCATAGACTTTAGAAGAAAAGAGATGTATCCAAAAATTAGTGTGTATTTGTGTGTAATTGTGTATGTATGAATAAAACTAGTGCATGCATAAACTTTGGAGAAATTCAAGTTTCCGCTACGCGAACGTTTGGCCATTAGCTAGTTTTCATATAAAGCGCTTACATAGAGAGCTGTAGATTTTTACATACGTTGTTTTGAATTTGTGTATATTTGTTTAAAAAGCAGATTTAGAAAAAATCGTAGAGTTTAAAAGATAAAAATATAAACGTAAAATACGCTTATTAGGTCTTAGCTCTTAAAGTATGCACTTTAGGGTCTAGATTTTCACGTTTATACAAACCTTGTAAGTGTCTGCAACATGTTGCCAAGTATCAATGATGTTCCGTTAGTAATTAAATAGTTATAGGACAAATTTACCATGAATAGATCACTGTTTACAAAGCAGTCAAATATCACGACGTTCTAAATGAATTGCATGGTAAAATGTATGCCAATAATTAGTGTATTTATTCAACTATTCACATGCAAAATTTCATGTCATTAAATTCAGTAATTAAAGAAAAACAATTATAATACTGACGAAGCATCGAAAACCTACATAACCCGACCAAGTTCGGATGGCTACAAAAAAGCGGCCGTGCCATATATCTAAGAAACGTTCTTAACTTTCCAATATAGCATTTATTAATATGGTACATTATCGTACACAAGCGTTAGGAAAAAATAAAACACAGTATCGTACACACGCTCGTGCATGCCTCTATTGGTTAAATAGTGTAATAAAAAATATTGGTTAAATAGTGTAATAAGCTACAATATGATAAATATTTACCTAATCAGTAGTACTTAAGTACTTACATGTGGTAAATATTTAATTTCCCTAAAGGGTCTATAGTTAGAATCCTGATCCGTGAAATCTTCAATAGAAATTAGCTGTATGAATTTTATTTGTCTTAAATATAATTAGATTATATCTCAAATCTCAAGCGCATACTTAAATAAAGTACCTACGTAAATAGTACCTACTTTCTGTCATAGTCAAATACATTTAAAAAAGTAGGTGTCCAAAAATAAATGACCTATAAATTATTTCGAAACAACAAGTGTGTTATCACCTGTACCAATTCAATACCGGTATTATACTGTAAATTTTACCTAAATATATTGAACAGCCGCTTTTTTGTAGCCATCCGAACTTGGTCGGGTTATGTAGGTTTTCGATACTTCGTCAGTATTATAATTGTTTTTCTTTAATTACTGAATTTAATGACATGAAATTTTGCATGTGAATAGTTGAATGAATACACTAATTATTGGCATACATTTTACCATGCAATTCATTTAGAACGTCGTGATATTTGACTGCTTTGTAAACAGTGATCTATTCATGGTAAATTTGTCCTATAACTATTTAATTACTAACGGAACATCATTGATACTTGGCAACATGTTGCAGACACTTAAAAGGTTTGTATAAACGTGAAAGTCTAGACCCTAAAGTGCATACTTTAAGAGCTAAGACCTAATAAGCGTATTTTACGTTTATATTTTTATCTTTTAAACCCTACGATTTTTTCTAAATCTGCTTTTTAAACAAATATACACAAATTCAAAACAACGTACCTATGTAAAAATCTACAGCTCTCTATGTAAGCGCTTTATATGAAAACTAGCTAATGGCCAAACGTTCGCGTAGCGGAAACTTGAATTTCTCCGAAGTTTATGCATGCACTAGTTTTATTCATACATACACAATTACACACAAATACACACTAATTTTTGGATACATCTCTTTTCTTCTAAAGTCTATGGATTAAAAAAAGTTCCGCCAGGACAACGTTCGCCCAGCGGAATCAGTTTTTGGTGAATTTCTCCGTGTCCGTTACCCAGGCCAGATGTTGTCGACAATGGTCATTTGAATCTTATAGATAATTAGTTGTGCGGCTTCTGTAATTGTTGCGCACATTTTTAAATTTGTTGCGCTTATAGTTTTTTAATTATTTCACAAAAACATTTCCTGCTGGCGTAACGTTACCACAGCCAGACCTTTTTATTTCTAATGGGAATATTTAAATAAATATTAGCTATAAAATTAGTTGTCTAGATAAAGTAAATGTTGTGCTTTATTTTGTATTTGTTCTTTCTTCGGTTGCGAAGTTATTCGAGATTTTGCTACGGTAACGTTTTTGGTTTTGCTAGATCTTTGAAATGGTTGAGCGGATTCTTATCATATTTTGTACACGACTTCCGAGGACTTTGTTAAAATTTGTTGTGCAATAACAAAACCAAAATAATGCATATTTTAAAGGTTTTTTCATTAAATAGAAAAACACTTCAATTGGCCCCAGCACTCTCAATAAGAAGTCTAAAGACTTACTTTAAACGTAATTTTAAAGCTTGTAACTGCCTTCAAATGTATGTGAAGTTTCATTAGTATCCCGTAAGTATTTAACAAGTTATGATGATATTCAGTTCTTCACGAGCACGGCCTTAATGCACGCGGTGTTATTTGGCCACTGGATTGGATATATGAACTGAATGTTACGTCAATAATTAGTTGTTTAGATCAGTTGTATATCAGTAAAATTTCAGCTCAATACATTGGATAATTAATGAGATAATACTATTAAAGTCATTAAGAAGTGAATGACCGTGGTAAGCCGACCAAGTTTAGGTGGTTACGAAAAAGCGAAAACGCAGAACATTGTACTATCTTTTGAAATGTTTAGTATAATACACCTTACAATTTTGGTACAGACGCGTACACTGTTTAATACCTATATAATAATAATATAAAAGAAAACATTATCTTCCAGTTCCACAAAATTATCAAAAATCACCGCTAGAGCATGCCTTTCGGTAGGACGCAGGAGGAGTGTGGTGAAGGGGTAATACATTGTTTGCATAACGCACTCAGTCTTGCCAGAAAGTTACTTTTGTAACCTTTTAGATGATTTTTGAACTGCATTTTGAAATAGAAATGACAAGGACGGGTGATGTTTAATCGGTTGCTAAGCAACACAAGTTTTTATAAGTAAGGAAGTAAAGGTTCAATTGAAATGATTATTTTACCTTTCAATAAAAAATCTTGAATAATCATGTAGTTTTTTTTAAACTTTTGTACATGTCTGTACTAAATTTATAACACTATCCTACATATTTTAAAAGGTACCATAATGTTCTGCGTTTTCGCTTTTTCGTAACCACCTAAACTTGGTCGGCTTACCACGGTCATTCACTTCCTAATGACTTTAATAGTATTATCTCATTAATTATCCAATGTATTGAGCTGAAATTTTACTGATATACAACTGATCTAAACAACTAATTATTGACGTAACATTCAGTTCATATATCCAATCCAGTGGCCAAATAACACCGCGTGCATTAAGGCCGTGCTCGTGAAGAACTGAATATCATCATAACTTGTTAAATACTTACGGGATACTAATGAAACTTCACATACATTTGAAGGCAGTTACAAGCTTTAAAATTACGTTTAAAGTAAGTCTTTAGACTTCTTATTGAGAGTGCTGGGGCCAATTGAAGTGTTTTTCTATTTAATGAAAAAACCTTTAAAATATGCATTATTTTGGTTTTGTTATTGCACAACAAATTTTAACAAAGTCCTCGGAAGTCGTGTACAAAATATGATAAGAATCCGCTCAACCATTTCAAAGATCTAGCAAAACCAAAAACGTTACCGCAGCAAAATCTCGAATAACTTCGCAACCGAAGAAAGAACAAATACAAAATAAAGCACAACATTTACTTCATCTAGACAACTAATTTTATAGCTAATATTTATTTAAATATTCCCATTAGAAATAAAAAGGTCTGGCTGTGGTAACGTTACGCCAGCAGGAAATGTTTTTGTGAAATAATTAAAAAACTATAAGCGCAACAAATTTAAAAATGTGCGCAACAATTACAGAAGCCGCACAACTAATTATCTATAAGATTCAAATGACCATTGTCGACAACATCTGGCCTGGGTAACGGACACAATTTCTCCACAATGGTTGCGTGCACAAATTTTTTTTTACCATACACAATTATACGACGTCATACACTAAATATCTGCATAATTAAAATCTTTAAATTCAACAACATTCCGCTGCACGAACGCACGCGGACACGTCCAGCCGAATTCTATCTTTTTCCTGAACTCTTTTTTTTTGACTTTGACAATCAGTAGAAGACAGAGGAGAATGGGTATCGTAATGCATAATGTAGGTAATCTACCTACTCCAGGCATCGTAACATCACACATTCTGGGAAATAGAATTTTGGGTTGTGGACTTTTTGAGATTTGGATATTATGAACCTAAACGAGGCGGAACGCTAAGACGCCGTGGTCGCGGCTAACCCTCAAGGGCCTTAGTACCTCTGATAGATTTATCAAGTCTAAAAATAGTGATTTAGACCTTTTTAAGAGTACGAAATAAAATACGTTTTATGAATAATTAATTTATTGATTATTATTAAACTTTATCGGAAAGGGGCATGGAATGACGAGCACAAGTGGTGAAAATCTATCTCACATTGAGACAATCATGAAAGTATTAAAATTATTAAATAAATAGTTGAGAGCAAGTCCTCCACAAGACAAATACTGCATGTACTGTCCTTGCAGCATGCACTATAAATTAGTTAATCCTCTGTAGAATCACAGTTAAAAAAATATCACAGTGTAAACAAAATATACTTTACATTCAGGGATGTTTCAGATGCTAGTAGAAGAACAAATTCAATGAATCTAGCCTGCCTGTCATGTAATCACAAACTGCAATATCAACCAAACAGCATTTCTACACTCCTTAATACTACAACATTTCACACAAGTACTCATTTAAGGATTTGCTAGGTACTAACACTTTGTACTTTTAATTAATAGTCATTGTTAAATCTCTTGTGGCCACCATTGCTTCCTCCATTGCCCCTTCCGAAATTACTTCCACGTTTGAATGAGCCGCCACCGCCGCGACCACCTCCGTATCTGTTCCTGTTCCAGCCGCCACCTCCACCACAGCGATCAGCCATAGTTTGGAGTTGAGGATTTACCACCTAAAATTACAAAAAATTTGGTGAGACACTAGTCAATTAGTCATATCGAAATAACTATTAAAACTAAATGAGATTGGGATTATGTGACAACATCTGAGGATGGGATCCAGACAACATTGTGTGGACACCGAAGGCATATAGCTGTATTAATGTACCTCATACTTGCATTCATGTTATGCTATATAGAAGCATACCCATGCCAAAGGTATGAGGAAGTTTAGAATATTAATATTAATTTTATACAAACCTGATTGGCTTCTTGTAGTACAGACACAAGGTCCTTGGCTTGACGAGAGTTAGATGGAGTGAAAAAGGCATATGAAGTGCCTTTTGATTTTGAACGCCCTGTTCTACCAATTCGGTGAATATAATCCTCTGACGAGTTTGGATAATCAAAGTTAATAACATATTTTATTCCATCAACATCTGAAAGAAAATAAATTTATCAAAATAATGTTCCAACTATTTTGAAGAAAGCTAAAACAGTTTTTAATAACAGAACAAAGAATTCATTAAGTATAGCAAGTTAACCTTTAAAAATCTGTGTAATGTTATGGTAACTCATAGCCGTGTATTACTTACATGAATGAGTTACACATATGTACCAAATACAATTCAATATTTGCCTCTCACTCAGAACCCTGGAGTCTTATTTAGGGCGTTGATGTTAAGTACTATTCTCAGTTTGTAAAATCATAATGACACTGCCCCATCCAAAACTCCATTTGGCCGAAATAGAAAACCCTTGACCTTCTGACGATTACATTACAACTGTGGTCAAGTTTTTAACAATGCACATCGGAGATTCGTAACATCTCGGTAATCAGATTTTTATACACAAGTGCATCACCAGGTTTTCCACACTCTCAAGTGTATCCGTCCGTTGATAGACGAACATACCATCAAGCTTTCCGGCCTCGGGTCCCATCACAGTGAAAGGCACCTATGAGGCACCATTATAATGACGAGTTATTGCATTCTCAAGGCATTATACTGCATCAGACTAAAACGTCATCTACAAATCCCGTACAGTAGAGACTTGCCCATTGAAATCGGGCAGTAATCAGATAGAACACAATAACATTCCGCCAGTGCCTCTGAAAAGTATAAAGAAATCAAAGTTATAATAAATACCATATAAACAGATTCAACAAATAAGCAGTCATAATTTAATTAAATAATTGCTACAAACCCAGTATAAAAATTAAACTATTAATATATTTACCAAGTCCTCTGGCTGCAACATCTGTTGCTACAAGTATACTGGCACGGCCTTGCTTAAATTGGTATAATGTTTCATCTCTCTCTTGCTGGGTCTTGTCTCCATGCATGCATACTGCAGGCCATCCATATCGTCTGATATTCCTAGTGATATTTTCTACTTTCCTCTTAGTTTCTACAAAAATAATTGTTTTGGCACCAGGCTCTTGACTCTGTCCAATTTCTTGTAATAAAACATTTAATCTGAAAAGTAAGATTTGCATTAGAAGCATATTTTACTATATAAAAGATTAAGCTTAATTTTTTTTTGTCAGATCTTCTTAGAGGAGTAATTTTATTTTAATCAAAAAAGTCATTCTTAAATCAATTCATCATAATCATAGTATAATAGGTGGATAAAAATAAATAGCTGACTAATTACACTTACTTATTTTCTTTCTCATGCTCTTGGCAGACATCTACAATCTGCAAGATGTTGTGATTGGCTGATAACTGAAGGGATCCTATGTTAATTTGAAGATAATCTCCGAGGTAATCCTCAGCCAATTTCCTTACTTCTTTCGGCCATGTTGCAGACCACATCAAAGTTTGTCTATCAGGGCGAATCTGCTCTATGATTTTTCTAATTTGGGGTTCAAAACCCATGTCTAACATACGGTCAGCCTCATCTAAGACCAAATATGTGCACCTTTGTAGATTAGTGGTACCCTTTTCTAAGAAATCAATTAATCTGCCAGGTGTGGCAATTACAATTTCAACTCCACGTTCTAGGTCACGACCTTGTTCTCTCTTTGGTGCACCACCAAATACACAAGTGTTGCGTACATAGGCAGAATTTCCAAAGTCAGAAGCAACTTGTTGGATCTGCTGTGCCAATTCCCTAGTTGGTGCCAGAACCAACGCAATGGGGCCATCTCCGCGTCGAATAGGGGGCTGGTTATTGATATGCACAATAGCAGGTAAAATGTAAGCAAGAGTTTTGCCAGACCCAGTCTGCGCAATACCAACCAAATTCTTGCCAGACATGGCAATAGGCCACCCTTGAGCTTGAATAGGTGTAGGATCTTTGTAACCCATGTTGCTAATGCTTTGATTGACGTAATCAGGGAAGTTTGCTTCTTCAAAATTCTGAATGGGATTAGGGACTTCAACACCACTAACAGTGATCTCATGTTTGCTTCTGTACTCTTCAACTTCATAAGGTGATCGACTTAGAACTGTTGGGTGTGGGTTGTAGAAATCCTTATTGAATGGTTGAAGAGACATGGAATCCCAATTTGGACGGCGCATGTTTTGACCGCCAGTGAAATCTTTTTTACCGCCGCCGCCTCCAAACCCGCCACCAGAACCACCGAACCTGCCACCACTTCCTCCATTACTACCGAACTTCGATCCGCCATTACCAAATCGGGAGCCATTGCTGCTTCCAAATTTCTTTTCTCCGCTGAATTTGGAACCGCCGCTTCCACCACGGCTATTGTTCCAACTATTAGACCTGCAGAACAATAAAGGTGAAACAATTCAGTTAGATATAAGGGGGGTGGAGATTATAAAAATACCACGTTTAATCGATATCGTGTCAAAAACGTGCAAAAGATTGAAGCCGTACGACAGCACGTGTTTGCAACCGGTTTTGTTAATTTTTTCGCTCTTATCAAATTAATTACCTACCCAGTCTCGGAATGAATCATGATTGAACAAGAATTACTCAACGTGTCCTAATATCATCAGTTATTGATCGAAGTCAATTCTGCTTCTGCGTGATGGCCACGCGAGTAGGCCACGCATGCGTGCTACACTCACCATGGATCAATGAATGAATTTATAGAACAAAATGGCGATTGCAGAGTTCCATGTAAAACTTTAGATACATTAGTCGGATAAAATTAGATTTATTGCAACCTCAATAAAACAATCTATTCTATTCTAGGCTATGTAATTCCTCTAATGACACTTAAAGAAGGTACTTTCAATAGAAATGCTTGCGGAAATGCGGCAGAAACGATCAATGACACGGTGAAAGATTACACCGCCAAGTTAAAACAAAAAAACATGAACAAAATGGAAAAATAAATGTCGCCTCGATAAAATACTTAATTAGGAAGAATACTTACATTATAGGGGATGTGATTTATTCCAGGATGTTAAACGTAATTCAAGATTATTCTATGTAGCAGGGTCGATCTGAAAGTAAAATGGACGATGTTTAGTAGTCTCGTTTAAATCACAACACTTCACAATAATCACTTTCAACTTGAAAAAGTTAAGTATTTAAACTGCATTAGTCACATAATAACAATAGATTATGAGAATAAAATATTCATATTTGGTAACACTTAAAACAAAATCCTTAGTATAATTTAAAACACGTCCCACCTGGACCACTGCTGACGCCGAAAGGAGAGTGAAATAAATCGAACAGTACGACCACAAGCCACCAAATCGTTCGTTCTCACGAATGAATGAATTAGAATTTATCATTCCATTCACATCTCATCCACAAAAATGATGAGTGATTGGCGATTTCTTTAGTCGAATTATGAAAAAAAAATTCAAGCATTTCATTTTTACAATAATTATGTCTCTGCTTTATATTATAAAGCTAGAGGAGGTTAGTTAGAATCTTTGCTTCGCCAATGATTTTTCAAATTGATAATCTGGTAGTATATCTGTTCATTGTTTTATTTTTTACCATACGAAATCAATAAGCCATTTCGACTAATTTAATTTAAGCGTTCGTTAAGAATATATTATTTTATACTGCGCAATTGTGCAACAATATAATAAAATTATGAAAAATTTAAATTGACAACTTATCGGACTAGCCAATCAGCAAAATACCCAACAAAGAGTAGAGTAATATAGTGGATAATTATACCACAACAAAACGTTACCTACGACTTTTGAAATAAAGATGATTATAAACAGGAGTTACAAAATCCTTAAGCAATTAAATACGAAAAAATAATAATTGTGTGTAGAAAAAAAAAAATTTATGTACCTACCATTAACCACTTACAAATAGTAATATAAATTTAAGTTGGTACCTAGTCAAGTGTAGGGTGTACCACTGCATACAGTTTTACATCAAGCTATACAAAGTGTGCATACTATTAAATTAGTAACCGTCTAATGTTTGAAAAGATCATTGATAGTGAAACTGTGATTACTGGTTTTGTATTTAAGTATGGGAGACATGCCTTGGCATACTTTGGTCGGCTCGATCGGAATGATATTAATAAAACGCGGTTACCGATTACCGCGGCCTTACACAAAACCGGCGTGGAACAACTACAGCTTTGTGTTTCGCCGTTCGAGTGAGGTGACCGGAAACCCTAGTTTTAGGCCCCTCCTCATCCCATCTTCAATCTACCCAATCCTCAAATCTAACCACAAAAAAGCCGGCAACCTACCGGCAACACACTTGTATCTCCTCGTGTTACCTATGGGTTACAGGACTTACACATGGCCGCAAAGTGATGCAATTTGAAATGCAAAAAAGATTTCCTCCTGATTAACTCGAAAAATATTTATAATGTTGCCAACCATCTATTTTCACTCCATTTATTCAAAAATAATCGTTTTCATTTCGCATTCCCAGCCGTTCCCTCCTTTGTCCATACATCATTCATTCTTACTCATTCTATTCATTCATTCGTTAATTTGAGCAAGTAAGTTTGTGTGCTGTGCGGTGATGTTAGCAGTTATAATTTATTTTTAAGTGAAAATATTAGTAAATCTTTGACTTTTTCTATTCTAAAGTGTATATTTATATTTAATAATGGCGATGCAACCACATAGCAAGAAAAGAGTGTGCTATTACTACGATAGTAAGTATTATAAAGTTAGTTACCCGCCACTGTGATTGCTTGATACAAGCACACTAATTTTAAGTAATTATTCACTGAAAACATATCACATTTCGTATGAAAATCTTACTTCATACAATGTTTACATTATTAAACTGAATAATATTAGAATAAAATGTAATATAATCGTCTTGACGAATTTATGTTCATGTGTGATGAATCATTTTGAGGCGTCTGTACTGCGTTCTTTGCTGTCATTGGTTACAACACTTTCGTTCGCAGCTTGATATGTGTGGTACAGACGATTATGTGTCAAGCCTCAAAATGTACTAAGAAACATGTTCGTAAGAAGTTCAATTTGGATTTCATGATTTGTTTATTTTCTTTTTAGGTGATATTGGAAACTATTATTATGGACAGGGTCATCCTATGAAACCTCACCGTATACGCATGACTCACAATTTGCTTCTTAACTATGGATTGTACAGAAAAATGGAAATTTATGTAAGTAATTTTTTTGTACTTTGAAATACACACATAATAAAATCTTAAGGATCACATTCATATTTTGTAGCTTTTACACAACTTATATGCTTTATGCTCATGTCATTATTTATTTTACTATATTTGGGTAAAGCAAATACTTATTAAAATGTCAAGACATGTATTGATTATATATTAATATTTTCCTCCAATTTGTTATGCTTGCACAGTCAGTGATACAGTACCTACATAAACATAGAGAAATAGGTACCATCTAAATAAAATCGCAATTGTCTTGAGTTAGTGTTTCAGTAGCTTCATATCATGAACAAATTTAAACAATGGTATATTTCTTACAGAGACCACACAAAGCTACTGCTGACGAGATGACAAAATTCCACTCAGATGACTACATTCGGTTCCTGCGGTCAATACGACCTGACAACATGTCCGAGTACAACAAACAGATGCAAAGATGTAAGTATAACCTCTGTATATGAAAGTTTAATGGATGCAGATAGATATAGAGTAATCAAAATAGCTCAAATGAGCAATTTCAAAATAAAGTGTACCCTGTTCTAAAATTGGATTTATTTTTTATATGCATATATTTTTTTAATTTTCCATAATATAATAGGAAGATATAGTTTAATATACAGAATAACAAAAAAGAACGCCAAATTCGAGGCATTTTCCTGATAATATCAAAACAAAACGGACTTTGTGGCGGAACTAGTTCCGTTATGTGACCACATTTAAAAGCGAAATTAAAGGAAAATATGTAATTAATAAGCCTTTTTTTATTTAATTGAATTAATAATACATGTATTTAATTGATATATCAAAAAAAATAGCCGTAACTTCTAGCATTAATATAAAATTCCTTTTTTAAATTCGATTTTGTGACTATATTGCTTTTTATTTGGTTATTTTTAAACTTTACTCCAAAAGCATAATATTTTATTTCATATTTGGTACCTTTTTAGAATAGTTATTGATTTACTGTAAACATATTTGTAACTGTATAAATTTAAAAGGTAAAAAATCACCTGATTTTGTAGATTTAATCCCCATCAATTTGAAGGGACAATCACAAAATGGAAGTCTTAAAATCATAAGGCTGTGAACACACATACTTTGTAAATTGCTTAATAATAAATAAGTATTTATTGATAATTTAAAATTGTTAGCCTTATTTCTCAAATTGGAACTAGTTTTGTGTTTTAAGGAAATAATTACGGAAAAAAATTAAGAATTGAGAAGGTAAGAAATAAAACAATCATTTTAAATATGCTTTTATTTTTGCCTTTTTTAAAAATTATAAGAATAAACCCAATAGTAATTTAGGTAGTAGTAACATCAAGCTACCCCAAACTGTCAAACCCCAATTGGACATAAACATTATTTAATTGTAATAACGCTGAAAAACAAAGTTTGACTGATTGGGCTAGCTTGAAACTAGTCTGTACCTCTTGACATCAATCTCATTAAAATTTTGCAGGATACTGATTTATAGGAACTCCGAAGTTTATAATCACATAACATTTGAGATCAATAGGTATTATAAAATTAAGGCCATATTTGGTTACTTTGAATAAAGTTATCCAAATAAAGTAATAACAAATTAAAATACGAAAACTTAATATTAGTATTCCTTTTGCATCAATTACAGAGTATGTATTCATTTATACATTACCACAAAATAAAAAATAAATCCTTATATAACCTAAACGTCGTCAGCAAACTTCAACCTGTAAATTAAAAATTGAAACATTACATTATTTCGGTCAGTAGGGATTTATATTATGAACTAAGCTTTATGCATTCCGACCTGTAGTGACTTGACGTTCCGTTAAATGTGACCATAGAATAAGTCACACAACGGAGGTCAAATAATGCTACCTTCTTGTAGTTTTAAATTATTTAAAAATTACTCACCTTACTTAGCACTAATAAGTAATTAAGAACCGAATACCTATACAAATTGTGCAATTCGTCAACATTAACAATAATCAAATAAAGCGATATAAAACAGTAAAACTTGGTCACATACCTGAGCAAAGAAATTTAAACAAGGAGCACTTCAACAATAACGTCCGCACATCTCACAGATTAGTTTCACAGTGAAAGCAAAACGCGTCTGTCGATAAAGGACGATATATTGTGTTGCCATTTCATGCCAAATATTTTCCATTATAGAATAATTTGTGCTAAAACACGCGGTCACAAGACGGAATTTTCCGGTAAGCTTAAATTTTCGATTTAAATTCATATTTAATTTTAAAATAAAATATGCAAAAAAATATATCTTTGACACCTTTAACTGATAAATACGACTGCTAAGTATTTAAATTGTATAAAGAAATCACTCTCAAAACGGTTTTTTTTTATGAAATCAATCATTATCTGATCTTAGTTGGGAAGGGGACACATAAATTTGATGGTCTTTAATATTTTAAAAGTTTCGTAAGTTTTTTATTTATTTAAGTAACAACAAAACGACATTTTTTATAAATATTTAAATATATTTTCTTCTCACTTAAATTAATATATGCAGTTAAAATTTATTCAATCTCAAAGAAATAAATGAACAAAAGCAAGGGACAAGGCGAAATCCATGGGTACATTTTTTTTTGAAATTGCTCAAATATATAAAATGAACAAAAGCAGTCTTAAGTGTAAAATACCACATGTGCTTGCAAAGTTATGGGTGAATATTTAGTAAATTCCAATTATTAAATTGGGCTTGCTCTGATTAATCCTGTTGTTTATTTGCAGTCAATGTAGGGGAAGACTGTCCAGTGTTTGATGGTCTTTATGAGTTCTGCCAGTTGTCAGCTGGTGGCTCCGTGGCTGCTGCCGTCAAGCTAAACAAACAGGTAACAACACAGCACTATTATGGTTTAAGAATACATTAGTGATTTTGATGCTTTTGTCTAACTTTCAAAATCTCATAATTAAATGTTACTCCATTCTTTTTATCAGGCCTCTGAGATCTGCATTAATTGGGGTGGAGGTCTCCATCATGCTAAGAAATCAGAAGCATCTGGTTTCTGTTATGTCAATGATATTGTGTTGGGCATTTTGGAGTTGCTCAAGTATCATCAAAGAGTACTCTACATTGACATTGATGTCCATCATGGAGATGGTGTGGAGGAAGCTTTCTACACAACTGACAGGGTCATGACTGTATCTTTCCACAAATATGGAGAATACTTCCCAGGCACTGGTTAGTGAACTAATTAAAGTCTACTTTGTTTGCTGGTATAATTTGGTTTTAATATGGTCTCTCATTTTAAAATAATCATCAATAATAATTTTGGTAATTTTCTAAATAACCATGCTTAACTGTTTTACTCAAATATTGATATACTTAATATTTATGTAAGTACCATGTTGTAAATACCTTGTATGAACAGGTGACCTGCGTGATATTGGCGCCGGTAAGGGCAAATACTATGCTGTAAACATCCCTCTGCGCGATGGTATGGATGACGAGTCTTACGAATCTATCTTCGTACCCATCATCTCAAAGGTCATGGAGACATTCCAGCCAAGTGCAGTGGTACTGCAGTGTGGTGCAGACTCCTTAACAGGTTTGTAGCTACTCAAGTGAAATAATTCTGAATAGAAATATGCACGCAATGTAAAGGTTTGTTGTATAACATTGTTTTTCTTTGTAACCAGGTGACAGGCTTGGTTGTTTCAATTTGACTGTCCGTGGCCATGGTCGCTGCGTAGAACTTGTAAAGAGATTTGGGTTACCATTCTTACTTGTTGGAGGAGGAGGGTAAGCTACTAAATTAATAATTTACTGTTTATTGTTCTTAACTGATTGATGATTTACCTAATATATCTGTTCTGTATTTTTAGATACACAATTCGTAATGTTTCTCGTTGCTGGACTTATGAGACCTCCGTTGCTCTTGGTGTGGAAATCGCCAATGAGCTTCCCTACAATGACTACTTTGAATACTTCGGCCCTGACTTCAAACTTCACATATCACCCAGTAATATGTCAAATCAGAATACACCAGAATATTTAGAGAAAATTAAGAACAGGCTGTTTGAGAATCTGCGAATGTTACCACATGCACCTGGTGTACAGGTACTTAATGAAGTTTATTATAATTTGTTATTTTTCCAGTTTTACAAAAAACTCGTGTTTTTTATTTGTATTTAATTTTGCCAAGGTGATAGGATATTATATTTCATTCACCATTACAGGTACAAGCTATTCCAGAAGATGCAGTTAATGATGAATCTGAGGATGAAGACAAAGTTGACAAAGATGAGAGGTTGCCACAAAGTGAAAAGGTATGTTTATCTAAAATACAAGTAAAATAGAATGTGGTTTGTATTTACAAGTACTGTCCAGATTTGAATACACAACTTCTTAGACAACTTATGTATTAAAAATATCTGCAAGTATTTTAGAAATATCTATAATTAAGCATAGCTTCTCATATTATGTAGTGTTTTCTAGGGTAACTCTAATTTTCGTGATTTTAAAGCATATTTTGTTCACAGGACAAGCGCATCACTGGTGATGGAGAATTGTCGGATTCGGAAGATGAAGGGGAAGGCGGTCGTCGGGATAACAGGTCGTACAGAACGCCACAGCCGCGAAAGCGCCCACGATTAGACAAAGACGGATCTACAATCAAAGATGAAATTAAATGTGAGTTCCATTTTATACTCTCTGTAACTTTAAATACAAGTTTATAGTTGTCAAATTGACATATATATGAAATTATTATATTACATTAAGTGGTTTTCACTTTTTTTGGTTGGTAATTTGTAACTTATGTAAGTGTTGTTATTTTAGCTGAAGACTCAAAGGACGACGTTAAGAATATCAGCAGTGTTGAAGAGCCAAAGAAAGAATTGCCGCCTAATCCCTGATGTACGCGATAACTGCCCGTCGCAGTTCAGTTTGTCGTCTCTCAGTAGATGATGATAACACATGCGGCGAGTAAACATGGTGATTATAATAAGCGCAATATCGGTTTTGTAATGCTCGATGTAGTGCTCCCTAAATATCTATATATTTGATACATGATTGTAAGAAAATGTCTGGAGATCTCAAATTTTGTAATAGTTAGTTCCTCCATTGTTGCAGTTGTTTTGTCAAAACAAGTGGTCCATGTGTTTACCATTATAGTTCGGCCGTTCAGAGAATGCGTTCCTGACACGTCGCGATTGAGCTGACGACGTAACTTTGTAATGGCGTTGCAGTTACGATAAAAATATGTTTGCGTGTTGTTTACCGTTTTAACAATTGATGAGCATTAAAACAACATTATTATATAAATACAAAAAATTGTATAATTTTCTGCCAAACTGAGTGTCAAATAACTTGGTAAACAATATTTTTCTAAATCTATACTGCGCTATTACAAGGTTATCTCAGCGCTTTATATTTGTAGTGCTGTGCAAACAATAACAGGCAATAACAGTATCGTAATCTGTTCTTATACAGGTATACTTAATAAAATAATACGTTTTGTTTTTCATTTTAATAATTGAAAAATTGGTTATGGAACATTTTGACCGAGATATCAGGATTGATTCTGTAATTGATAATAATATAAATATACATGTAGGCGAAGATGATGATGAAGACACCACCTCCTCAAGCGAATCGGAGTCTGATTAATATTCTGTACGTACGTTCAATTCAATGTACTTTATTGCATAGAAATACAGATTGTAACTTTGTAACAAAGAATAAATAAAACAATTTTATTATATTAATATTACCTTTTTTGGTTTCCACTTAAATAACTAAAATATAAATTTTAAATGATCCCGAAAATTTAAAACGAAAATAATCTTAAAAATAACGCGGCTTCATTTTGGCGGAACGGTAACGAACTCAGTGTTATGTTGTGCCCATCACTAGTCGTGACTAACTGATAGGTGTCAGGAACGCATTCTCTGAACGGCCGAACTATAGCCTAAAATCAAGTAGTAAAAAGACATTCTTGAAGTTATAAGGCATCAACCCTAACATGGAACACTTAAATAAAGTACATTCTGGTATGTTGATCATATTATCAGATAGCTGATGTGTGATTTTGATTTATACAACTAGTAACTTCATCTAAGATTATTTATGCATTAAGAAGTGTTGGTAATTAATGATAATGTAGTTCTAATCAATATTTTAAATGATTGAGATTGTCAATTTGGTTTTAAGACAAATTATTTTCTTACAAATTCATCAGTTACTTGTACACTCAAGGGTTAAATTTACCATTGTTATAAATGTAATAAATGTGCCTAACGGCAGAGTTAATATTATTTACACTATTCTATGTGTAACTAGTGCTCACTGCCTATACTTTTTTTTAGAAAAATCTTTTTATTCAAACTTCCACATCAGAAATATTTGCCTAAAATGTCAACCACCAAATGCTTTAGATGCGAAATTTGTAGGAATCATCTCGCTAGTGTGAATTATTTTTATAAATGTGACATTTAATAATAAATTATTAAAATACCACAAAAATACAATTTTCTCTCCTGTTATCTTTTTCAGGCGAAACATTTTTCTATATCAAATTAAGTAATTAATAAAAGTATGTAGGTTAGTTCGATATAATAATGCGACAGTTATCTAGAGGCTGTATGAGTTGATAAAAATTAAATTCATAAAGTCTTCTATGAAGGTTGCACCCAAATATTAGGAATATTAGGGCAGTAGTTATTCAAAAATAAACTACATGTTGAAAAAGTTCTGTACATAGCATTAAGCGATACGTTATTCTGTTCTTGAAACAACTGCGAGACTACTTAATTAATTTCATGTTCTGATTCAGTATGGATATAAATTTTCATAAAAATTTTACCGTCGCAATTACGTGTAAATCACAAGCATTTTTCACATTTAAGTATTCATGTATTTAAGAAATTCGATTTGTGTAATAAAATAATATATTCTATCTGAGTAACATGTCTTGAGAGTGATGACGAATATTTTTAATTATTCGTAATAAATAGAATAAGACTGTAAATATATTTTTTATTGTTCAATATATCAATGTCTCTAACAGCATGTTTTATTTCTACCAAGATTAAACGTTCTTGAAATGAGTGGCCGATGAAAGAGTAGTGGGTAATTTTGATAAGTAAATTCGTGTCGATGGTGCGGTGCTGCTCTGAGCCGAGGCCGCGGTGACTCATTGCACTTTACTCGCAACCCCGGCTGAACATCAGCCCTATAGGGCCCCGTCTGTGGTTGTCCATTGGCTCATAGAGGCGCGCGCGGAACGCTACGCGCCGTACGCTCGGGTTTGCGGTTCCAAGCTCTGAAGTCAGTGCAAAGAGTAAAGTAATGGAGGGGGAGAAGAGAAGCCCTCTTGCGAATTATTTTGGCATACAAATTCAAAACGCCCTCTGTACTTTTTAAACAGGAACTAATATATGTAGCATCATACTTACAGAATCCGTAGACAGAGAATAGAGGATATTATGTAGACAACAAACAGCAATTGGCATGCTGAACCTATGAGTAACGTAGTCTTTCAAATCAGGCAACGCCAACCATCTGGGAATAATAGGACTGGTTTTCGTGTATAGCGTTGTTCATGGCATCTTGCGTAAGTTTCTCGCTGGTCGTAAACTAGTAGTAGTAGTAGGACTATAAAACTTAAAAAATAAAACAAAGATATTGTATATTGTATGTAATTTTAAACGATTATCACAACGCTCTAGACATAAATTGCACCATAAAATAAAAGTACCTTAAAATCAGTCTGGTACCAAAGAGCTAGATAAAACCAACTAAATTGGAATGAATATAAAAATACTATGAAATAATTTAGCAATATACATCTACCTCGATCAGTAATTTTACATACAGGAAACTCCAGTACGAGACAGCCTTTATGAATTCAAGAGATATAAATGAATGTAATCGTTTACAAATATTTACTCTAATGAACACTTAACTGTATGGGGCGAGTTATCTACTTTCACCAAATTATCGCAAAATTGAACCTTACATACATCTCTGCAAGTGCACTAATCTAAAAATTCACTTTCACGTTTTGAACTTCATTTTAAAAATCACACTTGTTCAATATTTTCTTATACTTCATGTCTACTTAAAAATTTACAAAGGAATGTATAAACTGGAAGATTCTGTCATGGTAAATTATATAAAAACGAATTATTCTCACAATTCATAATCAATCGGACGTAAATAAATTGTGCGTAATTAATAATATAGGCCTTTTAAAATATGACTAGTTAAGACCAATTAGTTTTAGAACAAAGTTCTTAACTTACCAATGCTGAAGGAATTCGCAATCATTATATATATTTACATTATTTCATTGCTAATATTGTTAGGGCCTAGCGTTGGCCATTTTATTTTACTGCATACTTGACAAACCATGGTCCTTATGTTCATGTAAAATTATTTTCTTAAATTGATTTGTGTTGTATTGTTTCCGTACAAATTAATCATAGTTTATTTAACCAATTGAGTCTATCAAGTATGTAGTAGCACCTATTTGTTTTGAGGTCGTACTGGTAATATTCTTTTGTAATAATGACTTATCCTTATTTGGACTAACAAGCACAATTAACATGTGTAAAATTAATGGCATGGTTGTTATTACACTACCATCCGTTTTTCATTTGTCAGTCACCAAGCATTAAGAAAATCGAGAATGATCTGCATTCGGGAACATAATTATCGTAAATACAATATTTTACATAAGGGTGTAGATATTTACCATACATACGCTAAACGCGACATCTACCGAAATCTGAACATTTGTGCGTTAGGAGGTAACCATGATAGAGCTTTATGCAAGTTAAAGAGCCCACCTTAACTCCATCTTTGTGTCACATACTTTTAAATCTACCAGATTAGTTCATTAGATCAATGTCTAAAACATGTCTTATCAATACTGATATTAGAATTTGTTAAAATACTTTTTTAAACTTGGTAGAAATATTGTTTATCAAGAAATCACGGCAAGCTCAATGGCAAAGCAAAAACGTCTTTCAAATTAAATAAATATGAATCTCATGAGATTATATTACAAGTATTATCTTATAGAAGAAATAATAATTAATTACATCAAATAATATATATCCCACTTAAAATAATATATCCGTTTAGTGGGATAAGTTTCAAATATTTTTATAAATTATAAGCGATTAAAATATATTAATGACTACACGAATCAGTAACATAATACTAACTGAATCACAGTAAATAGAAAATGATTACAATACATTTTAATTTTAATCCTAGCATAAGTTACTTGGAATTATTATGACCATATATCATCAATTCATAATGTCCTAAATGTTAGAAGTTAAAAATGTTTCCGCACAGTAACTAAAATGGCGTTCAGTTTTACTCAAATACAATATAAGAATCCTAATCAGTAACTACTTTACTGTCTAAATCGTTAACAATCTAACTGGCACAATTGTGAGCATCCGAGAATAAAATCCGTTTTTGTGTAATATCTGGACATTGAACCCTGCTCAACTATCACGAACTGTCTTCGTCACGCTGACTGCACCCGAGCTTGGCTTAGGTCTCAGTACCCTCTGTAAACAATACAAATCACCATTTAACAATACATTTACCATTAAATTATTCTGTCTATACATATACAATACAGACGACATATCTTGGCGAGTCTGAAGTTAGCCGATTAGCTGCGCAGTACACAATTTTGTTCCTAAAAGATCCATTGCGCAGACAAACGGCTAACTTCAGATTCGCCAAGATACGTCGGCCGTATTGTAATAAATAGACTTGATAATTTTACCTGGAGTTAAAGGATGATCTCGTAACATTGAACCTGAAATGTTAATAGAAAACATTGAGACAATATGTAATATTGGGTACAAGTGTAGTAGTTGCAGAATATATTAAAGCAAAATGTAAATTAGCTACAATTTATTTACACTTTTTTTTTATACTATACTGCACAAAGCTCTAAATCAAAATAATTTGACTGTTACTAATCGCAACCTTATTTTATTTTATAAGCAATATTTGGATAACATGTTATTTGAAACGCGCATTTGATTAAATTAACAATTAAGTTCCAATTCTACTAAACATAAGATGTTCTACTTCTATGATTTGTTCTACAGAAAAAATATATAATACCTTTACAATATAAAATGCATTAATAGTTTGAACCATCACAATGTAGTGAATTGCAACAATTTCCTCCGTTGAAGCAACTCCATTCACAAGACAAGACACAACGTAAGGACTGTCGAATTACTTATAGTACCTTACTGTCTGTTAACTAACTTAAGTACTTAAGGAAACACAATAATGTTCAATTAAGAAGCATGCAAATTAATATTCTGTTATATGCATATTTGCAGAGTGAAAGTCATGCATGACTATGCCAATTATGACGGTCATAAAAGGTCCTAAAGGTTCTAGAGCTACATATAGGTACAAAAAAGATCATAACAGGAAAAAGTTATAAAATCTACCTGTCACGTCTTCTTGAACGCTTTGTTACATAGAAATAAGGCAAATACTCATAATTAATAACAGTCTATGACCATCAAACATTATAAAATATACCAACAATAAGACAAATCTGTTCAGTAGAAAATAAAGAAACAGTGTTTAATTTATTGCCGTTTTCTGTGAATACTATCCATCAGTCAAATGTACATGTATACGCTATGTGTATACGCTTTAGGTACGGAGGGTGTAGGTATGTCATTACCAAATCACTCTTCTTAGAAAAAATTGTAAAAAAGGAACAATGTTTGGATGTGAATAAAAATGCAACGTCTTATGGAGAAGCAGAAGTATTAGGTGTTTGTGTTTCCAATCCCAAAGCATGCCGTTAAAACATTAGCACATATAAAGCAGCGTCAAGCGTTTACCTATACAGCGAGACGGCACAGGGCACATAGATCGTTCAGTATAGAATAGCGTCTGAAAGTTGGTTACTGGTTAATGCGGCGCCCGGCGTGATGCCCACGATGCTGCCGCCCACGCACGCCTCCACGCCTTCTGTAGACCACCACCAGAACGTCAAATACTAACGACACAGCAGTTCAATGATATTTCGCTGTGTGCAAGTCTATCATCTACACTGGTTCTAGAATGAACTTTTGAACTGGGTGGTTTCGAATTAGGTGATTACTGAAGGTATAACATGTTCCTCGAAATGTTCAGGTATACAATGAAATACAAATCCTGACCAAAATTGTTGCAACAATTTTAGCTCAATATTCGTGCCTTCACCAATTACCATTTTTATTAGAAAAGATAACCTAGAGTAAGTCACAAAAGAGTCCCATAAAAGTAAAGTTATACCAAAAACCCAGAAGTAAAAGAGCGGTGGGGTGTGATAATATCTCTCGTTTTATGATCATCACTATCATAGATCACATCCTACCGGCGATTTCCCATATCGTAGATTTTTCCATGTTTTCCTGTGTTTTCCCGACCCTGTGGCGAAAAGCGTACATTCGTCCGCTACCTAAGGTCACTAATCCTGTTGCTCCTTCACATTTCCGACCTATCTCTATCCTTCCCTTCCTATCAAAGGTGCTCGAGGCCTGTGTTCATCGTCAGTTTTCCAAATTTGTGTTTCGGAACTCGCTCATTTCCCCACTGGAATCTGGATTCAGGCCCGGTCATAGCACTGTTACTGCACTCCTTAAAGTGACTGGCGATGTTAGGGCGGGGCTGGAGGACACCAAGGTAACGGTTCTGGTGCTGATTGACTTCTCCAACGCCTTTAACATGGTCAGCCACAATATTCTATTAGCAATCCTGTCCCACATTTCGGTCTCTGATGGTGCACTGAAATGGTTCTCCTCTTATCTTCGTGGGCGTCAGCAGATGGTACGGGTTGATGATATGTCATCGAATTGGACTAATCTGCAATGTGGCGTTCCACAAGGCGGCATACTTTCTCCTCTTCTATTTTCTGTTTTTATTAATCTCATAACTTTTGATCTTCAGTGTGCGTATCATCTGTATGCTGACGACCTGCAAGTGTACTGTCATGGGACGGTGGCTGAGCTGGACGGGTGTATAGCGAAAATTAATCGGGACTTGGCTGCTATCGAGAACTGGTCCAACCGGTTTGGAATCGGAGTCAATCCTGACAAGTGCCAGGCAATTGTAATAGGTAGTAACCATAATATCGCCAAAATTGATGTAAATACTCTACCATCAGTCACTTACAGCGGTACACCTGTCCGGTTTAGTGACAGTGTTAGGGACTTGGGCTTGCACATTGACAGCACCCTCAGTTGGCGGAATCAAGTTGCCAGTGTGAGTCAAAAGGTTACAGGATCATTGCGGTCTCTGTATCGCCACAGAAACTTACTGCCTCCTAGCACTAAGGCGATGCTTGTACAGACCTTAATCTTCCCCATCATCGATTATGGTGACTTGTGTTACTATGACCTGAATGCAGATCTCCTCAATAAACTCGACCGTCTTCTAAATAACTGCATTCGATTCGTTTCCAACTTACGTAAATATGATCACGTGTCTGAGCAGCGATCATTGTTGAAATGGTTGCCTATCCGTCAGCGCAGAGAGCTAAGGGCGCTCACAACTTTATTTACTCTTCTCAACTCTCCCTCTTCACCTGACTATCTATCTTCATATTTCCAGTACGTGTGCGACAACCATACTAGAAGTCTGCGCTCTTCGCACAATCGTCTTTTGCATGTCCCTGCCCACCGCACTAACTATACTCATTCTTCTTTCTTCATACAAGCCATTTCCTTGTGGAATAAGCTTCCCTCGGATATCAGAGCTGCAACCAGCCGGTTGTGTTTCAAGCGTAGGGTGCGTGAGTACATAGGCAAGATGATGGTAGTTTCCCCACTTAGATTATAAATTGTCCTCATTATATATATATATATATATATATATATATTTTATATTATATTATTTATTTATATTATGTGTATTAGTGTTTATATATGTATGTATTTTATATATGTATATATTATTTTTATGTATGTAACTTAGAATTGATTTACACCTCCACCTCACGTAACTTCCTAAATTGCTGTATATCACCTACCACACATCTCTGCACTACCAAAAGGTTGACTGGCAGAAAATGCTTCTAGCATTAAGTCCTCCGATATGCAATTGTATATAAAGAATAAATAAATAAATAAATAAATAAAATTATTTTATCAAAAGATTTCAAGTATTACGATGTTAAATAAACACACATTACGGATAAGACAAAAAATGTAATGAAATTACCGTAATTTAATACAACATGAATAATAATAAAAAAAAACCTAATAAATAAAACATGCAATGATTTAAAAATTAAAATGAATAAAAACAAAATTGAAGTTCATATTCTTGTGTTAAAAACTATTTTATAACTTCTTTTTTCAGCTGTAAAAACAAAAGATTACAAGATTTATATTTTTTCGTACATACTAGACGTATTATAGGGAAAGCAATGTTGGTGATTTTTATTAAATTAAACGAATCCGATCGTGGTGTAGCCTTAAAAACAAGTACTTGAAGGTGGTAAACTATTTAAAAAATATATTGTAGGATCAATGACTTGCATTGAGGAAGTTTAAATGAACCCAATTCTTAATCTACGTGGAGGGCAAAGTAAACTTGCAATTAATAGTAGAGATGCCAAACTCATCGGGAAAAATAATGATTAAGAGCGAAAATGGCTGCTGAATCAAACGGCGGATTAACGATCATGCAATAAATTGTAAGAATGGTCATGCGATATCTCACCGGTAGTACAAGCGGCGTTATTGTCAGGGTTGACTCCCGCCACGGACCAGGGCCGCGCCTTGCCGGGCGTGCGCACGCATCCGTTCCCTAGTCACACGCACTCGTTACACACGCACACTACGTACTCATACTTGCCGTACTTTTGCGTGCAAAATATTCAAATGACAATAGACAGAAAATAATAATTTATTAACATCAAACCCCTTCTCCAAGAAGTTGTTTGGTTTATTTCACAAGTATCATATGCTAAGGGTTGCAAAAAACTGAATGAAAGAAAAATATATAATGCTATAAGCATTTCAGACATATCAGAGACTCGTTTGAATATTTTGCACAAAACCTTTTCTTTGAAATAAATAATGTAAATGGCCATCGTCCTGTTATAGGATATGACTGTTCCTGTGAAGCGTACTCTCACACCGCGTACAATTCGCACATAAGCTGTGTTAGCACATCAAGAAGGCGGTGAATAGGACAACCACTTTACGCAAATACTAACAGATTGAGTTATAATTACAGCATTCGTTCCTACTGATGAGAACATAGTCTATTAAAAAAAAACTCAATTTGGTAGTATTCTTTAGAAGCTTTAGCTTTTAACTAATACTTTGTATTGTAATGTGTTTTGAGAACCCATTGGAAAGTTTTAATTGTGAATATATTACCCGTGTAATTGTGAAGAGATTTATTTAGAAGGAACCCCATTATTTATCTGCTTGTTATGGTGGTACTTACCCATGGTGTTGACGTTGTCTGAAGATCGGGATGGTGGAGGTGTGGAAGCCGAGGTCTTCATGCCTACATTATCGGAAGACTTGCAACGAGATACTTCTGTGAATGGAAAATTAGTATGGTTGTAGGTTGAAAACAATTCGTTCACAATTTTGTGATTATTCTTATGTTTCCGGTGTGTATATATATTGTATATTATACTAGTCTTAACAAAATTATAGACAGTACCACTTAAAAACATTATTTTGTTTATTTAGTTAGACAATTTTTCAAACACTTACCACATTCTAATAGAACCGGTGTGCTTTCACCCGATGTCACGCTGTACCTATAAACATAAATAAACTATAATCAGAAGCTTCAAAACAAAACGAATTTAGTACAACGTAAAAGATAAATATGATAGTAAAATTACCGATACAGAGGTTCATATTGTCAGACAGGATTATTATTTAGTCATTGTTTAATAATCTGTGTTAATGGCCTCTTTCTCTACTTCCTAAATAAACCACACTCGACTTATCAGGCCGATAATTCCACGCGAATCATTGTTTTTAATTTTGTCTTTTTATTATTGCGTAGGTAGAAAATACAAAATAAATCAAGAATGTTACTTCATGTTCGAAATTACACATGAAACCACTAATAAATGTATTTCAAAAACTAACTAAGATGGAGACACGGAGTAAGAACAAAGAGGAGACGGCCTAAACAACTCGGCCCTGTGACACAAGTCGGCCCTCACGTCATCAAGGTGGGCGTGGCTTACGTCAGTGTAATGTGGTCGTTCGTACTGTGCACAACTCCGATAAAGTATTCATTTTACTCGTGACAGAAGAAAACAAAATGAAGTATTGTATTTTATCTTAGAAAAACTACTATGATAAACGTTACGGTACTATTGATGGCATCATTTCTCATGTGGAACTTATTTTATTCGAAATTTATTAAAATAGTTCTAGCAAAGTCTCTTATTGTCAGCGTTTGCAATTATCAATCTACGCGACACTAGATGGCGACACTTTGTATCATAGGAACTAAATTTTTATAGCTACGCATAGTTCAGTATTAATATATTTTAATGATTGTTTGCATAGTAATTTGCTGAACATACATTCCTAAAGATCCTTCAATCTCCAAAATATTATTTTTGTAACGTTTATATTATTTTACAAATAGCCAGCCATCTATTGTCAAGTAGTAAAACAAACATAAAGACATTATTGTTCCAAAATATTGTTGAGTTATTGTTTTGTTTTTAAATTTTCCAAAATATTGTTGTGTTGTTGAGTGAAGGTTTAATTCCGAGCAAGGGGACCAAACATAGGCCGGCGACCGCATGATGCAAATCAAGTGGCAATATTAAGACAATTGCTGCTACATTATTAGAAGGTGGTAGGGCCGTACATCTGCATTAACATTGCCATTAAATGTACAGGTGATTGAAACTCCAAAAGTTCTGCGGATAACGTCAATTATTTTATGGTTAGAGTGCACAATCGCGACAAAAAAAAATCAATATAGGCAATTAATCAGATAATGTAAAATTTACGCGGTACTCGACTGCTTTTTGGTGGTGCCCAAACATTGCTTGTCATTCCTCGATCAACTCCTGCTGATGGAAACCTGTTTGAAGTCATTAGTTCTTTGGAGATATGTACGAAAATTGACACTGAACATTAATAATTACGCGTATTCAACTAACATAAACAATATACTATCATTTGGCTCATTTGGCGGAAAATCACATAAAATTAAATTTTTATGTTTTAATAAATTAGCTTAATATTTTAATACGTAGCGAAGCACGTAGGTACCGTTAATAGTTATAAAGTAGTAAGTGGCCTTGTCCATTCAAGACCTATGAAGATAAACTTGAAGTATTTTATTTCATTGACGCATCCCTGAATCGGTATGTTTGAAGATGGCACCAGTCTAAACGCATATTTCCAAATTTCACATTAATATAGTCCACACACTCGTCATCACAATGAAACAATGAATTTACTTTTTGCAAATAGGCCATTTACCGTATTATATGTAAAAATCAAGACGAAGCCGGCATTTTTATCTACTCTAAGAAAATACCGAAACAAACTCAGAAGTCCGCCTCTTTTCAAGTCCAGACAATATGAAAAATAATAGGTAATACAATGTACGAAAGCCGTGCAAATAGCCAGCTATCAGTAAGGCATCAGCCTGTTGGTAGCCATAGTATACGAGTTTCTCCCCTTATAAAAGAAAAAGATGTTACAATAAAGTGGCTTTGATGAATGTATAATGATCCTCATTCACCAATAATATTATATAGTATTAAAAACTACAACCCCCCGGTAATTCTGAGTACGACCCTGATGCATTATGCATTTAGTGACATCTATTGCGAAATAGTTACATAACTACAAAACGAATTAATTTGAACGAGCAAGTAGTTTTGCTATAGACCGGCAGATGGCAAATAAAAAAGTGGGCGGAGTCTAACACCCCCTCACCCCGCAAAATATCACGCGGTGTTTCTTAGGGAAATCTAGTTATAACATCTCCTCTTTGTTCTTACTCCGTGGATGGAGATCAAAATATTTTGGTAATAATAATAAAATTTCTTAATGACGAATTGAGATTCGTTACTGAAATCGGCTGTATAATTTTTATGATTGTATACCGGGGTCATAAGTACGTACATAGTGTCATCGCGCTGCAGAGTGGGTGAGTGTCGCAGCGGAGAGGGCGAGGCGAGCGACGAAAGCGAATGCAGTGAGCGGGACGTCAGCGGCGTGCGCGCCGACAGGGACGCCTCCTCACTGCCCGGCGGCGTACGGCATGTGCGCCAGAACTCCTCCAAACCTGGACACGACCATAATAAGCCAATTGTAATACTTCTTTTACTAATTTAATAGTTCGATACCCAGTTTCTGGAACGCTTGTCAAAACAATGATCCACCAAAAATATCAGTGAAAAAGTAAGTGAGAAAGTATTCGATTCTAGGAGTACTTATATTCGCCATAAACAAAAACTTATTAAAATTACACATCACGGCTTTTCCTAAACTATCTTATATAAAAGCACCTACTTTCTTAGGAAGGTTAATTGATTTAAAGTTCTTTCCGGGATAAAACCTCAAAGGGCACTTATTTATTATCATTGGACACTTAAGCTATTAGTGTACTTAACAGATGATGGTTACAGTACTTCCAATCTATTTTCCTATAGGATATACACTTATACAAGCGCCTACAACTTGGTGGTCAATGCTCATACCACACAAATTCTTTTCAGAATCTTTGTGCTACCACTCCTTTCGATCGATTTATAATGAAGCATTGCTCTTTTACGTTTAAATTATTTATTAAATTAAACTTACCTTCATCAATATCTTGTGATTGATCTGTAATAGGTCGTGTTGGTGCCCTAGTCTTAGCCCGTCTAGGTCGACCTGCAAGATATGAAATAATAGATGATAAGCATATACCGGCCAGTATCAGAACCCACATAATGTCACGTACGGGCAAAGTGCGTGATAATATTATATTAAGTTGATGAACTTTGTTTGGCACGTTACAATTTCTTCATATATTCACCTGGATATGAAGCGCTGAATGTTTGTAGGGCAAGGATATGTGGACATAAACTGGCTAAATATGGTTATGATATCCCTTACGAAATAGCAACATTTGCTAAAACACTAGCTACTGCTAACAACTTCATATGCATAAAAATACGATTCTTGGTTATATTTTGCCTGTGAGAAGTTTAAGGACATTCTTTTTACCTCTTCCCCTAAACTTTCCAACGGATATGGCCGCTAAGTTTCAGCTTCCGAGGTTTCACTGTCTGGCAGTATTTTGTAAAAAAAAACATTATATCATACAAGCAGCTGCCAGCGACTATGCAGAAGTACAAGGGTAAAAAGTAGCCGTAAAGTAGTAGTAACATATTACTCCAGAGTAGTCCAGAGTATTATAATTTCTATGCCAAATTTGCATTCGGATACATTCAGTAGTTTTTACGTGAAAGAGTGACAAACATGCATCCACTTGTAAAGTTTCACATTTATAAAAGACTAGCTACTCTCGCGCGGTTTCACCCGGTGCTCGGCTCCATTTAATGTTTTATAGCCTACAGCAGTCAGGAACATTGCAGCTATCTATCAGTGGAAGAATTTTGGCAATTCGACCAGCAGTTCCAAAGATTACAAACATATAAACTTAAAAATTTTACCTCTTCATAATATTAGTATAGATATTTAAGAAGTAGTACTAGTATTTATTGATAGCTGACCTTTGACAAGGTGTCGCAGAGTGTGCGCGGGTAGCTCGGCCAATGCGTCGGCGGCCTCGGCATGCAGCGGCGGCAGGGACAGCATCTCGTTGCTGCTGCATTGCTGCTCCGCTACAGACTTGGGCCGAACGCGGCGACATCCACGCTCACGGCGGCGACAACCCAACGGAGTGGCCTGTATACGACCATGATTACTTGCTTAACGTGTCATGGAGTGATGCATAAACGAATATTTAAAAAAAACAAACATAATATCACACGGGTACTATGAGCATTGCCCATTTTACACTTCACCATTAGAATGTTTTATTTGAAGAATAAAAAAATGTAAAAGAAGGAGCTATTTCTGACAAGTTGCATTCTGGTAAGTGCAACTGGTAAGAAAAAACAAAAAAAAAAAAAGAAACAAATATGAACCTCTTTTATAACATTCGTCGGTTTTCCTGTATTAACATTCTTCTTCTTTAACGTTTTCTTAGGATTAATACGAAAACATTTGAATAAAACAGGGATAAGATTCAACATTGTATAAGGAGCACTATTTGTTTGCACGTTATAGTAAACACAACAATATTACTGTACGGAAACGATTGGACTAAATACGTCCATAATATTCTTGTATAGCTATCAATAAGTTTCGTAAACATTGTTATCTTTGTCCGCTATAAAATAAAGATTATTTTGTCGTAACGCGTACGGTCAAACGTCACCGTTGTTGATAATTTCTAATTATGAAGAAATGTTGTTCTTACCAAATTCAAGTAATCCAATTTCTGTGTAGCATGAAATCAGTGATTGCATGTGTTATTTAAATATAACTTGTGATTCATTTGTGTGTAGGAAGAATTAAATTAGTAAAATTAAATAGGTATATTCTTTTCGAAATCAAGCAAGGGATGATGTAAATCTACTTCAATCTTGTTTCAAGCTTAGGTTTGTCATTATTGTGTGTAGCAAAACTTTAAAACTTCAGAAAAACTGCTATTAATTCTGCTGTTCAGTCTTTCTGAACATTCATAATAATGTTTCTCTTATACTTACAGACGAAATAATAGACAAATAATTAGTACTGTTTAAAAAAGTTTGTTCTTAAAAAATATTAAGAATATCGACTGTGTTAAACTTAAAGAACTCACACTGAAACATATAAACTACAAAAAGAGAATCCCAGTATTTAAAGGTCATACTAAACTAACTGTAAAATTCATATTTTAGTAAGTATATAGATTTGCTCGACTTCGCCAAAAACTTTTCAAAATTAACAACACTTGTTAAGCACTTACCCCAGAATGTGATATAGGAGTGAGCAAGTCCGGAATGTCTCCATCAGCGCTGGGCATTGGCTCACTGTCCATATGATCCACGTTCTCGCACGCCAGTAGGGCGAGGCTTTCCACTGCTTGACTGCAGGAACCGAAATAACTTAGTAGAAACATCTTATTTATTCGCAATACTTCAGCAAATAGGTCAAAGTCAAATTAAAAGTTTTAATAAAATCTTTTTCGTTTACAACTAAAGATCCGAAACCGTTCAAATTTTGTCTAAGAACTGACATCGAGCTTGCGTTGAGTCAACTTAGATAACGATATATTTCGTAGAAGTTCGAGCATTTGTAATGATAAATTTGTCGGTTTGGTCATTCTGATAATGTTTCGCGAAACTAATAACTGATTGTAGCTGAGTGCCTAAGTGGACTGTATGCTTCAGAAGACACTTTGAACGCGATCCATATACTTGAGGGGCTAGTGGTGAGCGGACCTTAAAGGCCCCTAGGCTATAAAAAATAAACCGGGATGATAGATTTTTTATGCACTATTATATTAATAGCTGCACGATTGGTGCGGTAGCTGGGCAACTGGCTGCAGTGCAAGGTCGTCGCGGGTTCGATTCCCGAATTCTTTGTGTGACCCAAAAATTGTTGTTCCGGGTCTGGGTGTCATGTGCATTCGAAATTGTATGTTTGTAACCGCACCCACGACACAAGAGAAAATCCTAGTGTGTAGAAACGTTTTTTTTTTATAAAAAGATTTTAAAACAAGGAAGGAATCGAATAATTCAAATACGGTACATAGACGGACTAAATAGATTTTTTTATATTAAAATCCTCGCGTCGTTGTCCATATTATGAACAGTTAATGTACAAAACATTACTTTCACTAGCTGCGCCTTATCTTAAAACTAAATATTAATAGTAATAGTAGTTTGAAGCACCCATTCTTAAAAAACCTTTTTGTATATTAAGATCACGATATCAGACTTTTTGCGTAAATAGTTTTCGATAACAGCAGTGTGTCAGCAATGGCAAGTTGCACATTATTATCGTTACTTAATGTAGAAACGCTTGATATGCGAATACTTCGCAATAATTATCTTGACACATTGACCAGATTGCACGGTTTGTTGTTTGATTCATTTCAGCTGTTAAACTGTTTCATAGCGATCCGAGAGCATGACGATATGGTATAATAGATGTCAAAAACGTTTCTGTGCTTATATTAATATTATTTTTCCATCTACTACCTATATTTATTCTGTGACGATGGTTTAGAACCTATTATAACACTTCTCTGCACCACTCTTACGGTTGACTGGTAGAGAATGCCTTTGTTTGTTATACATAAAGTTTTAAATAAAATTAATTGATAAAAAACGGTCTAATAATGGTATGTAAGTATGAGTGAGTCTTCGGGGGATGTTTATGTTCAGTAACATTCCTAAAAAAACTTTAAATGATACATACTTGAGCAAGTCCTGCAGACTAGTAGTACACGGCGCCATGGCGTCTCGCACAGCTTGTAGTGTCACCAGCTCGCCACTTGGGCCACTGCCGCCCATCGCCGCGAAAACCTCACCGCATCTCTGTACACATATTGTTAATATAGGGTTTCATTCTACTTAGATTACGATATTATCCTTTGAAATTAATCTTGTAAGAGATTTTTCACATAGAAGAAGCTTTATATATACTTTTTATTTTATTTCCATACATACTGGAAACAGTGTAACAGTACAAACAGAAAACCTATACGGCCATATTACAAAACAAGGTTTTACTTTAGTCTAGGACTAAACCATTGAATCAGTTTTTGTATTCCGAATTGAAGGTAGATTACAATAAGATTCAAAATTCAAAACCCGACTCAATAGTTTAAACCTGGACTAAAGATAAAATTTGTTTTGTAATAAGGGGATTTAGTTTGTAGTAAAATTTCCTTTGTGCTGACTGTGACATTTTTGTGTCATTCCGGTTAAAGTATTTGTGTCTCCTATATTAAATTCATAGAGGAAAGCTATTCGATTTTCTTCGTTCATAATATATGTTGACTTTTTATTTGCGTATTAGGTAGGTATGTGAGGTTTGAGGCATGGGGACAGAGACTAGACTAGTAGGTACGAGTGAGTAGGAGCTGGGCGCGGTACCTGCAGATACTGGTGCAGCAGATGGTGGGCGGCGGCGGCGGCGCGCTCGAGCGCGGCGGGCAGCGGCGGCGGGGGCAGCGCGGCCGCCGCCTGCGCCGCCAGCGCCGCCGCCGCCTCGCCGCCCGCCCACGCGCGCTCCAGCGCCAGCGCGCGAAGCGTGTGGGACTGCGTCGGGCTGCAGTTGTTCGCCAGTCTAACGACAAACACGGATTACACATCTTTCAATCCAAGTCAAAAACAGTGTGGGAAAGTGTTAGTGTAGGAAAGCCAAGCTTCGACACGAACGGGTCTGTTCAAGCAGAGTGATACCACGGCCTCATAAAAAACGGCAAGATACAACCACAGCGTTGTGTTTCGCCTTGTGAGTGAGGTTACCGGAGGCCTGATCCACGGAGTAAGAACAAAGAGGAGATGTCATAATTAGATTTCCCTAAGAAACACCGCGTGATATTTTGCGGGGTGAGGGGGTATTAGACTCCGCCCACTTTTTTATTTGCCATCTGCCGGTCTATAGCAATACTACTCGCTCATTCAATTTACTTCTTTTTGTAGTTATGTAACTATTTCACAATAGATGTCACTAACGCAACAGGGTCGTACTTAGAATTTACCGGGGAGTTGTTTTAAAATTTTTTTTGTAAATACATTTGCGAATCATCTTGATACGCATTTTTTTTATCGAAATAGTAATTAATATCTAAAATATCTATTATTGGTGAATGAGAATCATTCTACATTTATCAAAACCATCTTTTTCATTTAAAAGGGGTTATTTCGTTACGGGCGTAGCCTAAAGCAGAAACTCGTATACAATGCTACCAAGAGGCTGATGCCCTGCTGATAGCTGGTTCTTTGTGATAACGAGTGTTATTATTAGATATGTTCTGTCTTTTCGTCACGCCTAAACTACTGAACCTGTTTGAGTGAAATTTGGTACAGACATAGTTTGGAACTCGAGAAAGGACATAGGATAGTTTTTAAACCCAAAATCTACAGGAATTCATTATTCCACGCGAACAAAGTCGCGGGCAAAAGCTAGTTTCTAATAATTTTTTTGAAAACTCATGGGCAGTTGCATCATTACGTAGCTGAATACACATTATTACTAAAGATCAGTGTCAATTTTCGTATATATCTCCAAATAACTGATGACTTCAAACAGGTTTTTCATCAGCAGGAGTTGATCGAGGAATGACAGGCAATGTTTGACGAAAGCCCCCTGACAGCAATATCAGAGCACCACGAAAAACCCGTTGAGTACCGCGTAAATTTTGCGCATGGTTCGATTAAATACTTCTATTGATTTTTTATTCGCCATTGTATGTGTGCATCCCATAAAATAATTGACGTTAGTTGCAAAACTGTTGCCATAGCAGAAGTTCTCGAAATATTACAATTTGCACTTTAAATCACCTGTACATTCAATAGCAATGCTAATGAATAGTGTGCGGTCCTACCACCTTCTAATAATGTAACAGCAATCGTCTTAATTTGCATTACGTGTTCGCTGGTTTTACCTCAACAATATTTTGGATCATAAAAACACAAAACAATAACTCAACAATATTTTGGAACAATAACGAACATTACATCTAATTAACTAGTGGTATGTTAAATGCTATTCCAAAGTTAATAATACCGCCAGATTCTTCATATATAACACATCCTAATGCGAAATGCCATATATAACACAACCTAATTATCTTCACGACTGTCATAGGTACTATTCACCATGAAAAACGAACAAAACCTGCCCTAATGTGACGACATATTTCAAAATAAACGAACAATGGAACGAATGATATGTACGAAGGACATAGTATGTTGTGGGCATTTCATAGGCTTACCGGCGATACATATCTGAGTTGTATGATCCAAGTCCTGATGCCCTTAATTTGGGGTTGAAATAAAAACCGAAGAGGAACTTTAGAAGTATAAATAAGGTCGTTCAGTTTCAAACACTCAGGCACTAAGATTTAGCACTCACAGCTTGCGGTGAGGTGCGCTAAATTTGAGTGATACCATTGGCGACTTAAATAAATCAACGATATAAACCTTAAAAAGTAATTGACTCCTAATTACTACCCTGTCTTTATTTATGTTTTACTACTTGATAATAGATGGCTGTCTGTTTATAAAATGATATAAAAGTTACATAAATAATATTTTGCCGATTAAAGGATCTTTAGGAATGCATGTCGATCAAATTACTATACAAACGATCATTAAAATATACTAATACTGAACTATGCGTACCTAAAAAAAATTTTGTTTCTATGATACACAGTGTCGACATCTAGTGTCGCGTAGATTGATAATTGGAAACGCTGACAATAAGAGACTTTGCTAGAACTATTTTAATAAATCACGAATAAAATAACTTATACATGAAAAGTGATGCCATCCATAGCACCGTAACGTTTATCATAGTATTTTTTACAAGATTAAACACAAGACTTCATTTTGTTTTCTTCTGTCACGAGTAAAATGAATATTTTATAGGAGTTGTGCACAGGACGAACGACCACATTACACTGACGTAAGCCACGCCCACATTGATGACGTGAGGGCCGACTTGTGTCACAGGGCCGAGTTGCTTAGGCCGTCTCCTCTTTGTTCTTACTCCGTGGGCCTGATCCCTCACCCTTCCCCATCCCTTCCCAATCCTTAAATATTCGAAAACCTTATGATGGAGATTATTTACAGGCAATCAAATTCATTACAAACTGGTTGGAAGTGTTGAAATAAAAGCTGCTATAAAAAAAATTACAACCATTTTGCCAACACTACCAGTCTTTAAAAAATATCAACATTATAATTCATTTACTATATAACTTTACTTCATTAAATTCTAAGGATACCAAAAAGATAGATAAGCAAAAAGAATGGATAACAATGTAATAGAAAAACAACGAACCGTTCGTGCAGGTCCCTCCAAAGCGTAGCGACTCGTTCACTAGCGCCGCGCCCCCCGGCGGCCGCGTCGCAGCCCGGGAACTCCACGCGGCGTACGCTCACTGAGCGACGCAAGGCCGTCGCTATGTCTGTCAGACCTAGGGTGTACAACAAAATTATTCAACACACTTCCTCATAAAGTGGCTATCCCATGGCAATTAGGAACATAATGACACCTTTATTCAAACTGTGTCTTTTTCATTACTATTATTCACTAGTGAGTAATAGTTTATATATTTTTATATTATTGGTTGAGTTACGCTTACACTTGTGCTAAAGTGCTATCCGTGAATAATCCAGAAAAAGAAAACTAATTTTTTACTCGGTGGCCGATGCGCGCGCATAGGAAGTCTGATAGTTTTTTCTTACCATTACGAAACATTTTTGGTCACGTTTTCTCTTTTGCTGGTTATTAATTTAAGCCTCTGACTGCCGACACCTAGAACCGAAACCTGAATAGAAAGTTGGTTGTATAACCATAGCTTACCTTGCAAACTGAAAGCATTTCTGTCTATATACAATGTCTGTAGCGTGCAGTTACACTGCAGTGCTTTAGCGAGCAGTCGTGCGCCCGCGTCGCCCGCCAGGTTGCCGCCCACGTCCAGCGAGCGCAGCCGGCGCGCCCCGCCCAGCGCGTTCAGTAACCCGTACAAATCACCCTGGAAATGACATTCAAGTTCAAAATTGCTTGTTTTACTATCGATGTCGGCTGTCGTTACCGAAAGGAATAAGATCATATAGGGCACAAATTAATGTTGAATTAACACCATGCATAACATTTGGTACCTACTTGTTGACAGTTGTTAATACTTAATTCAGATTAACTCTCTTATTGGTTTTTAAATAAAAAAGGCATGTTTTTATACTTATTGCCATTGAAGGAAGGCAATATAAAACAGACCTGTGCGTCGCTCGTGGACAACCGCAACATCAGAGGATTTGCGTTTGCGTTGGATTGGGGAGAGTTAGGGTGGGTATGGATTATACCTCCGGTAACCTCACTCACACATGGCCAAACACAAGGCTGTATTTGTTTGTCATTTGTGCCGAAACATGGCTCTATCAAACTTGCATAAGTACTGGTAAATAGAACCATTGCAATCTACCTCGACTAGGTAACCATAACAGCTCTGAAATAAACAGACAGAACACATAACAGACGATGTAATAATAATCTAATGAATAGTAAAAAATTACCTTGAGTTTACAATCACTGAGATCCAAGGAAGTCAAAGCCGTATCTGGTTCTTGAAGAACATGGACTAGAGCCTGCAACATAAAAAATAAATACATACATTAAGAAAAACAATTATTATTATATACTAGCTTCCGCCCGCGGCTTCGCCCACGTGGCATGTTGACAAAAAGTAGCCTATGTTCTATTCTGGAGTGTATCCTATGCCTGTGCCAAATTTCATCCAGATCCGTCCAGCAGTTTTGGCGTGATTGAGAAACAAACATCCAAACAACTTCGTATCGTAACTTTTGCATTTATAATATTAGTAAGATATATTTTTTAATATTATTGTATTATTTTTAAATATACCTGTATTAGAGGCGGTGCGTAAGACCTTTTTCCCGTCAGCTTACTAAGAGACAAATGGGTGATAGAATGGTTCTTCCCTATCGCCCTCACAATACCGGACAGTTCGAATTCCATACCTGAGGAAAACAAAAATAAATACATTAGTGACATTCCGCTGTATTGTTTAGTTGCATAACACAATGACTTACAATTATTTGTAAACATTAAAAACATGATTTTTATTTTGCATCATTGAATACCTTTGTGTTGTTGTCCGCAACAAATTCCATAGATTCAACAGTGTATAAATGCAAACAAATAATAATTAACTAACGTAAACTTGTGCCAAATTAACAAGAATAGTTGAAAAAGATTTAAATAACCTTCAAACTAATAAGCACTAAAAACATAAATTGTTCTATAAATAATCTAATATGTTACAGACACATCAAACTAAAGCGAACTAATAAGTATAAGTACTTACGCCCTAAATAGTATTATTATCTTACACACGAAAATGAACCTTAAACTATTATTGACCTAAAATCATGAATCTATCTATCTGCGTAAGGTATTAAGGTTTATTTTAAGCCTGTGTACATGCAAAAATAAACCTTAAACTTAATGCCCCTTATTACAAAACAAGATTTATCTTTAGTCTAGGTTTACCATTGAGTCGGGTTTTGAATTTTCAATCTTATTGACATCTACCTTCAATTCGGAATACAAAAACTGGCTCAATGGTTTAATCCTAGACTAAAGTTACTTGTTTTGTAATAAGGCCGAATAAGCATAACATTGCTGACATAATAAGCTTAAACAAATTGCCATAAAAAAGTAAATAATACTAACTCTAGCAAACTAAAATAAACCTAATTATTTATATGGCATAAAACTTACTGTTATCAGACAAGTCCAAGGACTGCAAACATCTGACGCCGTGTATGCAAGACTCGAGCACATGCGCGGCTTGCGAGGAAGACAACACTCCCGACAGATTCAACTGCACGCCCGTCGCGCTCTCGTTACAAGCTAATCCAAGTAACAGACTCCTGTAAGCAATAGTTTATAAAAACGTAAGTATCATTATCCTATTTGTTTAGAATCTATTATATCTAGGAAAAATACCTCTCAGTATGAAACTCCGTTTAGAACAAACAACTGTGTAAATTATACAGCGCTTTTCAATATAAAACTTATAAACTGTTTAACTGATTCCCGTAAATGTTTACAAATACATATTGTTAACGATTAATAATATTTCTTTACGTAACACACATATTGTACGTTATGTTTGTTTTAGTATCCGGCAATGTTTATTGAAATATTACATTATTAAATACGGATGAAACAAACAGTTACGAAATACACGACAGAAGATGAATTATAGATAATGGAATCTCAAAAAAGTTTTTACAACATCTACAAAGACTGCGCTAAATTAGATTAGTGTTTTTATATACTCAGGCGAAAAATTTAGCTTCAAATTCACTTTTTCAATGGAATATGGGGCAAACAAGCAGGCCGATCCCCTGATGGTAAGCGAATAGGTGATCCTAGGAACTATTCTACGGTAGAAAAATTATACTAGTATTTTGCTAGCTTTCAAAATAATGACTTCATTATATACAAACTTACTTGAGTGCATCTGGCGGCATCTTGCAGTATGAAAAGTCGAGATCGGTTAGGGCGAGGCAAGCAGTGAAGAACTGTCGGAAAGATGGCGGCGGGTCGCGGGCGCGTCGCGCTGCGGACCAGGGGTTACGGGCTACTGACAGAGTCGCCAGCCGGGCCGCACAGCCACGTAACAATGCACCCCACATCTGAGAATATAAACACTTTATATATAATAAAATGTATTAGACTCACATAAAGGTCTAGAAAAGAAATAAGTGCATCACGGTTTAGAAATTATCCCAACCACCTTCTACAATTATTCAAGTAGTCATGCATATCTATCAGTAACGAACATTTTTAAGTCCTCGATATCTACTTGTATTTGTAAAAAATATAAACATACTAAACTAACATAACACTTGAAGGACTTGTGTATAAGAAATCCTGGTAAAGAATCTGAGGTATCATTCCCAATGTGACACATTTATAGCAAAGTATACAAACTGAAACAATAGCGTTCAAGGGACACAAAGAAAAGATGAATGAACAATAAGCTTAAACTAGGAAGGCATAATAAATGAATCAAGCACAGGATTCCTCCATGCACTGAACGGCACAACTTACTTTATTACTTACGTTTTCTAACGTAGTCTCCGTGTTTGTCAGGTTCAAATACGTCAATACATTCGGTTGTGCGAGGAAGTTGTATAAATTCTGAAACAATTACATAATTGAAGATGAAGATGTTAGATAAAAATACATCAGGTTTTTAATCCTTTAAGCGCAGCCCTGCGCATGTTTGCGCATATTTTATTTGTTTCATTTTTGAAGTGTCTTTAAACTGATCATCCTGATCAAGTGAGTACCTAATAGAAGACCTTAATTATATGTATAGTGCTTGGACCACACTAACGGAAAATGCCATTCAATATCGTGATAATGGACGTTAATCGTAGGTGTAATTTGATCACTAGACAAATGATTTAAGGTATATTTTTCATTATTTAATATCATCAATTATCGTGATAATTATTATTGGCATTTGCCGTCAGTGTGGCCCCTGCATAACGCCAGCATTATAAATGGCGCGTTAGATACAATTAAAAAAAAAAACAGTAAAATTGAAACATTTATACGGGGTAAAACTGATTCGAAATTTCAACCCGAGATCTAGTTATAAAAGATTATGTTTACTTTTAAATTAATTATCACACTATGAAATAAGTAAATGTTTTATTTTGTCATTAAACTTACATGTACGTCATCTTTGAGGTTATTGTATGAGAGGTCGAGGTGAGACAGCGTGGACAGGTGGCATGGATTGTCATTCAGCATGGTTGCTAGATGCATCACAGTTTTTCCAGTAAGGCCGCATTGTGACAACGCAATGTGCCTCAGCCCGTCCGGATTGTTCGCGAGCCCGCCAAGTATACTAATAGCACCTAAAACATAAACAATGGAGCAACATTACAACATTACACCGTGTCTTAATTCACTGTACGAATACATTAAAGTACGCTGTTAAAAACAATGGTGATTAACCAGTTACGGCTCCAATATAATACTAATAGTAGCGAAATTGGGTAGTCAAAAATAAATTAATTCGACGTTTCAGTACAATAAAATATTGAAAAATAACTATTCTTTTATTCATCCATCGATCGATACACTAAGTTTTAGATATTTTGTAGCTAAAAATTAAGAAATAAGTAAGCTATTTGACGCAAAAATATAACTCTAAGGGCCTGTTTCACCACCCTCAAGTAAAGTGTCGAGTAGGCTAATCGCCAGTTAAAGTGACCCGTAACTTCACGTGCGAGTTTCACGACGTTCGAGTAGCACTAATCATAAGATTAACTGACCCGTAACTTACTTGCCGCGTCTTCTGCCAATTAGCGTGCTTTACTCGACGATTAAGTATTGTCTGTTGTCTTTTCTTGCATCACCAACGATTATTTTAAAATAAACGAATAAAAATGGATTTATTTGATTTAATTGATCATCAGTTGGATGAATTAGAACATTCTTCGACGCAACGAATAGCGAGGATTCGTGTATTTAAATTCCGTGTTGATTATTTTACGGACCTGGATGAAACTGATTTTTTCGCTAGATTTCGTCTATCGAAATATGCAGTGAACCAAGTGCATAACTTTATTAAACATAAAATAATGCCTAAATCGCAAAGGTGAGTGGTATTTTTTAATTATTCAAGTGATTTTACCTAAGATAACCTATCAAACCATATTAATCCCTCCTATAATTTGAAGTACCTACCTACTTATGTGTTCTGTTACCTGTTGATTGAAGTAAGTAGGTGCAGTTAGTAGGTACATTATAAAAATCTTTATTTCAGAAATCAAGCAGTTCCAACAAAAACAAGCCTACTATTAACGTTGAGGTATCTCGCTACTGGATCCTATTTAAGAAGTGCGGCTGATTTTTGTGGAGTCAGTCCACCAACAGCAAGCCGTATCGTTAAGAAGGTGACTGAGGCTATTGCTCAACTACGCACAGTGATAATAAAGTTCCCTGACAACTTAAGCACCCTTCAAGATGGTTTTTATGAAATCGCAAGCTTCCCCAGGGTAATAGGGGCTCTAGATTGTACCCATGTTGCAATAAAGTCACCTGGTATGTTTTATTCTTTAATGTTGTCATGCCAATGTAAGAAAATAATAACTTGGTAATCATTATTTGGGTACATAATAAAATATTAAAATGTAATCCACATCCACTTTTCATTTCAGGAGGCAATTCAGCTGAAAATTATAGGAACAGAAAGTCAAACTTCTCAATTAATGTTCAGGTTGTTTGTGACAGCCAATTAAAATGCTTGGATGTTGTAGCAAGATGGCCAGGATCTGCTCATGATCAGACAATTTTCAATAATTCATCTTTGAAACACAGATTTGAAAGTGGACAATTTAGAGATGGCTTACTTCTTGGTGACAGTGGATATGAGTTAAAGCAATATCTTTTGACACCTTTTCTGAACCCATCATCCCCGGCAGAAAATTTATATAATGAGTCACATATTCGAACAAGGAATACTATTGAAAGATGTTTTGGTGTGTGCAAGAACAGGTTTCCTGTCCTTAGGCGACAGATAACATTAAACTTAGCTCGTGTACAAGCTATAATAGTTGCCTGCTTTGTATTGCATAATATTGCAATTGATGTAAATGAAAGAAACTTTGGGGACAACTACAACTCAACTGATACACAGACTCTGGAAGAAATTGCAGCGCAGAGCCCTGAGCTGAATTATGATCCTAGAAATAGACTGGTGCAAGAATATTTTTTACCATTACTAAATAATAATAGACCCTAAATAAAACAAACAATTTATTTATTTAAAATTGTTTCCTAATTTTAATTTGTAGGTACTCTTCTTCCTTCCATTTGCGCTCCTTTTCTTTAAACTCTGCCTCCTTCTTGCGTTCATTTTCTTCAAATTCCCACACCTTCTTTTTTTCATTTATTTCTGCTTCCAAAAAATCTTTTTGGAGCTGAACTAGTTCCAGCTTAGCTTGAGTCAGCTCATCAAAAAGTGTTTTTTTCGGTACATTAGCTGTAAATAAAACAATAGTGAAATTAAGTTGAGAAAGAAATTGTACATTTTTATATACATTACAATGCTATTATTATGTCATACCAATCAGTGCAGGATGTTTTCTTGATTTTAAATTTCTTCTGCTAGTGACATCCCATTTTTTATTGGCAGAAGTAGTTGGAGTTGTACCACATCTCCCATTTGGTGTTTCATGCAAAGCTTTGTCTGTAATAAAAAATTAGTATATATTAATTTCAAATATATGTTTACTTTTATAGAAGAGAACTCTTGTTTCATATTAAGAAATAGCACATGGCCGTGCCCGGTATCAGACTGGCCGTTACAGATATTAACCAGTGTCAGGTAGACCTAAAGTTTACATGACTACTGTTGCTGTTAATTTATCATTACTGCTATTACTTGAAGGTTACAAGTGAAAAGTATCAAAAATACACTCACCATTCACGTTGTCTACTTTTAATATATTTGTTTCCAGAACTGTTTCTGCACTAGTAGTGGGTGGCAATGGTTCAAACTCATTTGTAACAAGCAGTACAACTTCTGTAAAAAAGGTACAGCAATAATTAGCAATCAAGTTAATTAATGTGAAATAAATAATGATTTAACTTTGATTGTGCGACACAGCAGGCACATTATATTCTTTTGCAAATATGTTGATAGGTACCTACATGACAGCTATAATAATAATAAATAAATAGTTTATTGGTAAAAACAAGTATAAGTATAAACACAATATTAGATTGGATCCTCCTTTTAGGCAGTTAGTGCCTGTATTAGGAGAGTCCGCTCTTCTTTAAAGGAAGTATTATGGATACTTACGGTTTTGAGTAGCCTCACTTTCTACAACCTCAGTTGTGTCCATTTGTAATGGTGGAATTCTTAAAAATTCTTCCATTTTAGGAACATCAATTGTGTCTGCAACAAAGCATATAGGTATTTTATTTGAATAGGTATGACTAATTATTTACAATAAACCACTTTTGATTTCAAATAGACCGCATCGGTAAAGACGGTCACGTTCCCTAGTGCTTTTTTAAACAAGTGAACAAGCTTACCTTCTTGATTTTGTGGCAATACATCGGAGTCGAAAATACTTTCCAAGCCATCGGCGCTTAACGTTATCATGGCTTTAATTTGTTCTTCCACATTATCGAGTGGAGGAGCTGTGTTCTTACCACCTCCGGTACGGTAAAGTTCCGAGCGACATGCAGCTGACTTTTTCCTGACTGTACGTTTCAAGCCCTCATATTTGACCTTTAACGTTTTGGTCGATCTAAATATGCCTCCAGATCGAGCATTAAATTCATTTTGAATGCTTTCCCAAGCGGCTTCCTTCATTTTCCACGTCGAAGCATCACTTTGTTTATTCTCCAGCACAGCATGGTATTTTTGTACAAGTGATACTAAAATTTCTCTCTCATGTAACGAAAAGTTTGCACTTCTATCTCTTTTAACTTTATCCATGATAATTAAATACGTAAGTACTTAATAACTTAAGAAATTAAAATCACACAAGTTAATATTTCCAACCGAACAGACAATCCACTACTACAACAAACAACAATGCACAAATGACAGCTGCAATGACGTTTGACGAGTGACATTGACGTAATATTGAACGAATGTGACGTATGATTTGTTACGTTACTCACTTAACCAGCAAGTTGTTACTCGGAGCTTATTTTTCGTTTGTGAAATCGACAAAAGATACTCGTAACCTTTACTTGCTGATTAACGTTAATTGAGAAGTAACTAATCAACACTTTACTTGGAGATGGTGAACGAGGCCCTAAAATATAGTTTTTGACATTTGGATTCATCATCATTTCGCGAAAGCTGTTAGCAGTTTTTTAAATAAAAACTTTTAACTCTGAATGTTAAAATATCGAAAAAACCGAAAAATACTTGCGACCCATTATTCGGTAGTACCTAGAACTGGACCAACTCGACAATGCCAGTACAGATGACGCGTCGGCATAAATATTCAACGAATAAAACAAAAAGTGAATCACAGTTGATGAAAGTGATACATGCAAACAACATTTTGAATTGTTCTATACTATACTGTTACGGGTAGTTAACTAAGCTTTGTCGAACATACAAAGTTTGCAAAATGCATGAGTTTGAGCGCTAATATATTTTTATGATATTTTTGCAGTAGTACTTTTTGTGTAAATAATTTGCAGTCCACTCGTATTAATTTAACAAACAAGAAAGTTTGCAAGCTGTAGAATGTATTGTGTCGATGAATGGATGGAAAGATGTTTGTTTTTTATACGCAATAACAGATAGAGTACTTTGTATCCCCGAAATGCGGGTAAACTTGCTAGCATAAACTAGTCAAATTTGTGTAGTAGTATTTACATGCCGATGTTCGTAGTCACTCGAGTAAACATCATCAATTCATCATGGAAAAGTAACATCTATTTTTAATAAGCAAAGGAGACCTTAGCGCAATCGCAAATATAATTAAATATAATAATTCATTTTAGGTGAATATTTGCCTAAATTTAATCATTAATTCAACATTTTTTATAATTATTGATGCTTAGGCCGATCGACAGCTAGTGAACAAAACTAACCTTTGTCTTCAATATGATTTTGAGAAAAATCGATGGTATGCATAGCGGGAGGGTGTCTGGCTCTAGTCAAAGCGTGTCCCAATCTTGCGGCGTGGTCGTGTCGAAGGGCAGCGGCCCGCCATGACAGACGCGCTGGGGGCGGCCTGGCTGACCGCACCACGCGACATACACTCTCCCAAGCCTCACCACTCGCCCGTACTCCGTCCCCGCAAACACCATTAAACCATGTATTATGTTGTAACGCCATTACTAAAGGAATTAGGTCCCTGAAATGAAGTAATCTAAGTAAAATAATCGAAACATAATTTTGCAACACGACTTCGTTTCAAGGACGACTGCCTTAGCTGTATCAATCGTCGCGCATACTGTTCATGATTAAGAGGTTCTAACGAGCTTGAATGTAATCGAGCAAATGTGAATGAAAATTTCTATTAAGTAGTAAACCGTATAACAAAAAGCCTAATTTGAAAAACGAAACTCTTAATGTTAACTTTGTCCTAAAGATTTAAGAATGATACATACCTTTGATCTAAATGATCGAAATCCTTTAGATGTAGCATTCTAATGTCATGTGCCAGATATATCGTATCAATGTCCCAAGCTACTTCGGCTCTGTAACAAAAGCGGTATGTTATGACATTGTATTCTAGAGTCCGCAGAAACACATTCCAAACAGAAATTAGTTCAGCTAAAAGCATTACACAAACAGTTTTCTTTATAGCCTGCAATTATACCTGAGACGATGACGTCATTGGAGACCATTTCTGAATATTCATAAGTTAGTTGGTAAGACAAAAAAAAATCCTATCATCATTGTATGCCAGTATAGTCAGTCAGTCGGTTACTCTCTGGATAAGTTTAATTTTTTTAGGGAAATAACAAATTGTGAAGCACAAAGTGTTGTTGAAGTTAACTGGCGTATAATTTCATGTTCTATAAGTAATGTAGCAATTTACAGATTTAATTTAAGGCTACTTGAGAGGAAATTAGGGTATGCCACATTGTTGACATTAATGGTGTGCTCACTCGGGAACTGTGTCATCATCAATGACAGTGTTGTTTTGTATTTAAGTTACAGTTGCTCCGATGTTCTGAAGCGGAGCCCTCTCATTTTCCGTTTTACTTTATTTCTGTATTACTAGCTTTTTTACCTCTTTCAGTCTTAAATCCATAACCTTTAATTCCCTATGGTCCTAAAGCTGACAGTGGACTTCTATAACGTTGCGGGTGTCCACGGGCGCCGCCAATTGCTTACCATCAGAAGATGCGTCTGCTTAAAGATCAACAAGCAAGCGAGAAAGCATTTGATCTGCCTTTTTGCCATAAATTATCCTACGTCCAATGTTCCGTTTATTATTATTGACTTATTTCAGAGTGAGGTCGTAGCACTGCAAAATCCAAGAGTCAATATAAAATAAATTAAACTCAAGTGCACTATCTAGGATACATAGACCTTACAATACAATTGAACTCGATTGAAACGACCTCTATGTATGCAGAATGCATTCTTCCTCCTTCATTTATATTATATCCGGTTACAATTCGTCCTATTCGTGGCCTACATTTGTAAATTGTTGTTTAGAGTACAGAAACAAGCTGAGGTCACAATAAAAAAGCGAAACCGACAAAATATTTGTTGGTAATTGTTAATTTTATTATGGAGACCGTTCGTCGTGATAGCGATCTTGACCTAGGTGGTACTGGTACTTACTAAACAATCGCATTGTTTTAATTTTCTTTGAAACTTTTGTAGATACTTTAGAGACAACTTAATGAAGTTTATAATGTTAAAAAAGGAATAATAATCGTAAAAAAACGGCCATGATTTATGTTACACTTAGATATATATTTTGTTTAATAAACGTTTCCCCACATTAGGATTATCTCCTGTGTCGTCGTCGTCGAAGTTGTTCCGTGCGGGAATCGAACCCGCGACACTATGTACGGCAGCCAGTTGCCCAGCCACCGCACCAACCGTGCAGTCAAGATAAGAAAATATTCCCGGTTCTGGACCATGTAAAAACCGATTAAGAATGTAAGTTTACTACTAACCTAACATGCAGGTAGTACTGAAGAACGATAATTTTAACAATCTTATCTGGGCTTATACTCCAGAGGAAAATAATTATTTTATCCTTAACTGTAAAAAATATGCTACCATCCATATTAATGAGTTACCTGAAGGGCGTTTGGCAGAGATCACACATAGCTGCGTACTGATTGGAAAAATCACCACAGGTTGAATGTTTTCGAGTGCCGCTCACTTGTGGCACTGGGTACGGTAGATTGACCTGTGGAAATGATACATTTTAAACTATAAAGTATAAATAAATAGAAATATGAAAAACATAATATGTTGTATCACTCGTAACTCTCTCTTTTTCGACTGCCGATTTTTTTTTATATAAATATTAATCTATTTGGTTTCTTTGCGACAGAGGGTTTCATTAGTGGTACTAGCTCTTGGTCACCATTTCTGATAATAATATGATCATATTGAAATCAAAAAGTACTACCTAACAGAAAGCCATCTTATTTATCGATATAGGCCCAATCGATATTTTTAAAAACAATAAATACACATTAAAGTCAAATTCTATATATTTACCAAATAAAGTAAAATTGTTATCATTATCACATAAAAACAATGAGTCATAACCCAATAACGCCATCGTTAAGTTTAGTTAGTAGCCTAATCACCGATGACTTACTAACCCTTTATCCGGGCACAACTAAATGCATACGATATATTGATATGGACTATGTAAATAAGGAATGATTGTTATAAGTTATAAAACAGTCACACGTTTCCTTGTTATGTTACTGGTTGTGGTTTTCATTTGGCAAGCGAATTGATGAATCATATAGGACTATTACTTTTATCCTTATAATATAGGTATTAATGTCGCGACAATTAGATAAATTAATGTTGATTGTCGCGCTAATTCGTATGGATGGCGAGAGCGAATTTTATATTTAGTGGGTAGGTGACGCATTCGAAAAAACATACCTACATATACCTTCATAAAAGTTTCAATTACGAGCAAAACCAACCTTGGATATAATGTCAATCATGGCTACGTTTGGAAATAAGTCGTCAAAGGCTGCAACTAACGCATGTAGGACATTAAGCACTCCATCTGATGTTCCTTCTTCACCTGCAAATAGTAGCACGGTAAGAAGAAATTATTATTATCTATAATTTATTTCTATTGATTATAATCACTACATAGCATAAAACTAAGTCGCTTTACCGGTCCCTATGTTTCTATGTTTTCTTAAATCTTTACGCAACGGATTAGATATGGTTTGTGATTGAAGAGATAGATTATGTGAATAACATTCGTGAAATAGTGGAGTAATTGAGTGACAGCATTGCGCCCGTGCGAAGCCGGGACGTATCGCTAGTATAAATAATAGCTTTTAGAATTTAATTTACACGAAATTTTAGTTACTGCGCTTTCCGTTTATCTGTGTGATTTCTGTCTGATAAGTTTACTAATTTTTTAATAGTCACACGATTATCTTGAAAGTGTGCCTACAAAAATATTAGGACAGACAGACCCATGAATCTTGAAAGAATCAATGATTAAATTATCCTAAAACTTAACATATCCTCAGCAAATACCTACATAAAGGATTTTATTATTGAAACGTCGGCAGCATTACAATTAACCGATTAGTCATCAGATGTTTGGTTTTCCATAATTAATTTCTATATATTTTTAAATTCAAGCAAGTACATCGTGTGGCCTATTCATTAACAAATTCAAGGTAAAATTAATTAATTAACTATCTATTAATAAACGGAAAATCGGCAGTAATCATAATAGTTACTTATATAATTACAGCAATTTTATCGACTGATGTCCGAACATTAGCATACAATGCTAGTTATAAATCTTCTTAGAACGTACTTGTGGTTGGCTATTCAAGATTGTTGAATGTTGATTGGTACGAGTTCTTAGAGTACTTTGTACACATATTTTACATACATACTATAAGAATTTTTACCAACTTGATTTTTGGTTTAAACTTTTGACCACCATGGTCCGCTAAACGAAAAATGGGCATTTTTTTTTTTATTTAATAGGTCGGCAAACGAGCAGACGGATTACCTGATGGCAAGCAATCAGCGCCGCCCATGAACACTCGCAACGGAGAAGTTATGAGTGCGTTGCCTACCTTTTAGGGATTAGAGATTTGGAGTTTTAGGGATTTAGGAGGGATTGGGGGAGGGGAAGGATTGGGCCTCCGGTAACCTCACTCACACGGCGAAACACAACGCTGTGGTTATTTCACGCCGGTTTTCTGTGAGGCCGTGGTATCACTCCGGTCGAGCCGCCCCATTCGTGCCGAAGCATGGCTCTCCCACACTTAGCTTATTTCGCCAAAGTCGAGCATATCCGACCGTCATAATTAGGTTTGTCGAGTATAGCCATATATTTATAGTTTCGAAAAGTTGTATAATATCTATTAAATTAAATTACTTTCGTCTTAAAATGTATTCAGAATAAATAACAGGAGACGGATTCTAGACTCTAGACTAAGACGATTGGCGTCCGCCTTAGATTAATCTGTTTAATTTTCTCGATAAAAACATTTCTTAATCTATATTACTAGACTGAGGTAATAATTGATCGTTTGCGTTAGTAATAGAGCGTTAACTGTGTCCGCCTACGTGTCATTTACCAACAATCGCATCAGTTATACAGCCAAACACTCAGCTAAAGAATAGAGATGTGGGGCGTGTATTATTCAAAAATAAAATAAGCTCATGTGAGTAATCCACTGGAGGGTAAAGTTAAGAAAATTATCCTTTTTTATATATTAACTATTCTGAGCATTCTATGCCACTCTAAAATGCGTAGACAATTCTTAAAACTTACCTATAAGTATGGACACTGGTTTGTGTTCATGGATTAGTGTTATTGACAGATGATTGGCCTTTTTGCTCTCGAGCGCTTCTATTTCCATCAAGTGAAATCCATTGTCAACCTGACATTATTAACAGAGGTTATTCCATTGACCATGCAAATTAATGTTTCCTGTAAGGCTTGGCTTGTACCAACCATGCTTGAAAGTTAATGTATTACTGTGTCCTCCATGCTACCATAAATGTATACTTGATTTAGAAGTACAAGGAATTATATTATTATATACTTAAAATTGACATTTACAACGATAAACTAAAAGGATTTGTTGTAAAAAAAGTATTTTAATTTAAATAAACTATTTTTTAAATTATCTTTAAATAATTAATATTTGTCACTGAGATATTCATTAAGATATTTAATTTACTTTTCAATATATTAATTAATTGCAAGTATCTTGTAATATAATCAAATGAATTTTGAATAAGAAAGTAAACATATTTTTCTTCAAATAATTCTATTGAAGTACTCACCCTTGTTGGAACTTTAGCAGTTGTTATAAAAATTCTGTAAGCTGTTACAACCTGAAATATTGTTTGAGCGTTAATAAATTATATTTTTTTTAGCTGTACAAAATGAACAATTAAATAAAAAATAAATCATGAGTGCTGATAGGCATACAATTTCCTCATGAATTTTACACACTGTACATTATATTTAAGAATTAAACTACCATTATATCAGTTTCACAAAAAAATGTGTCCCTAATGATGCATAATTAATAAACATAAGTTTCATTATATAGATCAGATTATAACTGCAAAAACCTCTTCTCACTCAGAGAAGAGTTATAATTGCATTCAGGGGACATAAACAAAAAAGAAATTACTAAAGCAAAAAAATATATTTAGGAAATCCCATTCATAAAATTTATTTCATAGTCCTTAACAAAAAACAAGACAATCTAGGATTATATTTAGCTTTGTTAAAATTTGTGTCAATGAAAATAATAAAGCCAATAAATGGATAAATTGGTTTAGTCATTGTGTTCAAAGTTGACTACATGTAACATTGTGATTGTGTTTGTGTGGAAAAGGGAGCACAGACATACACCACTGTCTCAATTAGACATAGGCACACCTACCTACATGATTCATTCTATTGTTTGCCTTATCAATATCAACAAAAAACCATTCTATAATGCAAATGACAAATATGATATGAGATCAGTGTTTTCATTTTCTTCCTTTCAATAAATAAATATGTAGATAGTTGTTTAATAAATAAACTAAATTTAAATCATTACTTTTTACCTATATTTTTAAATAGATTAAATGTTTGATTATCCTTACTTAAATGTTTAGTTATAGGCACAAAAGGTAATAATCAGTGACAGTCGAAAATAGATTAGACAATTGAGATAAGTAATATCTATGAAGATATAAGACACATATGCTATGTATAAAAAGGCTTTCTGCAAAATTGGACATGAATAAAATAATCTGACATAATTTTACACAAACATTTTAGTTTTTAGATTTATTTGAAATATTTTTATTTAATATTAAAAGTACGACAATTTTACTTAGTGCTTACCAGAACTTTGTTATCCACTTTATCACCTCTTGATTCCATTCGTATAAGGGTCTTGTATAGAATTTTAACATTTTTTCCCAATACATTGCTTATCGTTTCTGTAAAAATTAAAATAAAAGTAAAATATGCCAAACCAGTCAAATATTCAATGTCTCTTAAAAACAAAAAGACTTTGGTAAAAAAGCGTGTTCAAAAAATAACATATTATTAAATGTTATAATTAAATAATTATTATTCGATTAATAAATACGAACCACTCAATTCAGTAGAAATATGAGATTTTGTTGACATTTTCGCGATTTTCTTCAGTGTCATTACTCCCACAAAATATAAATATTTTCAAAGCACAATACATCCATAATAGGCACAACACATAAACAAAATATTTTTACTGTAATGATAAGACACAAAAACACTGCATTTCAATAATTTATTAAATAGTTATTAGGATTATTGACCTAAAAACCACCACAACACCATTTCAATGGGAAGGTAGGGTAACGAACCACCACGAACCACAGATTATAACTTAGAGCAATAGTGCTGCCCAGCTTGGCAAATAGAGCTCTTTTCTACAAAACTTACTAAATGCCAATCCAAAAATTTAGAGAATAAAGCTTGAAATATATTACTATGGCATGTCGCTGTTACCGCCTGTTGACCTCTTGCAAGTTTGCCTTTAACCATAGTAAATGTATGAAACCTATAGCCTTATTTGATAACAAATATGGCAAGGTTTACTGAGAAATTTCGGGCCTTATCCCATAGGGCTTATTAAAATATATTACTTAACCTTGCCCATAGCTAGAGAAAACGTGTGTGGCATATTTGGAAGTTATGCAAATAGTGTTTATATACTCTTTGGTTATTCAGTAAATTATTTTATCAATTGTAATTTGTATGGCTAACAGTACCTACGTTTGGGGATAACAAATGATATTAGTGATGCTGCAAGATTGGAACGTACCTACGGCATAGATTTAGTATCCTACGGTCAAGTTGTCATCTGTCATTCTTGTCAAATTAGGAATGAACTTTATTTGTCAATGTCATGTTTGATATTTGTTCGAAGAATCCTATTTTTGTAACGAAACATAAAACATTTGGAATCTTGGATTAATTAAACCTCAAATCTTTACATCAATAATGAACAAAAACTACGAAAGATGTACTCATTGTAATCGCCGTAAATGGCTTGCCTCAGGTTGCCTACGTAAGTGGTTAAAACCATTGGAATGTAAACATTTACAGCGAACTGTTGACAACAAAAGAGATTTTAATAATACTGATGGTGTATTTTTACCCGAGCGCAAGCCTTCGATTAACACAAATAAATTTGTAAAGTTTTGGAAAAATAAGTTGTTTTTAACTGGCAATGTTAGATCATTGCAGAGATACTTTGGCAACAAAAACAATGGTGGTGAACATCTGTGTAATCTTAGCAAATGTAATGGTGAACCATCAACTGCATCCGAGAAGAGAGTGACTGCGACAGGACACGAGTCCAAAAAGGATTTTCCACTGAACAGACAAGCTGTCAAATGTCAACATTCAGATGGTCACTCAGTACTTCGTGGACACCACCAGCACGTCTCACTTGAAACTTGTGCAATTTACTGCCAATTGTCAAAGTAAGCTTCATGATCATTACTAGGGGTTACATCATCTAGACACTAGTCTAGAACCAATATATCTGACTAATTTGTGTTACTAGTATGTAGATAATATTGAAACAAGATTTGCTAAGATAAAATATAAATTTTACAGGCATGGATGGTACTGGGGAGGGATCACCTCAAGTGAGGCAGAGGAACTACTTGCAGGGCAGCATGATAATGTTTTCTTGGTACGAGACTCATGTGACTCCCGACACATTCTCTGTGTGTCCTTCCGCTGTGTGGGTCGCACACTACATGCTCGACTCAGACATGCCAATGGACTGTTTTCTCTGAACAATGAAACATTTGTTCCGGCTAACAGGATATCAGAACATTGTGCTGCTGTTGATGTGAAATCTAACCTTTTTGAGATGCCTGTTAAATTAGCAAGGCCACTAAATAGGTAATGATTGTAATGTATTTAGGTATTAGTCCAAGAACCTGTTGCTTTAAAATATCATATTATAAATTTTGATCAACATTTTTACAGATTTGCCAAGCTGGACTCTTTACAAATGATCTGCAGGTTTGTCATAAGACAAACTGTATCAGCAACAGTATGGAGCAAGTTGCCACTACCACCAAACTTAATATCTTATATAACCATTGGCAGTGACTACATTGTACCAACATAGCCAATACCTATGTGCCTTTAGTACTCATAGTTATATATATGCATAGTTTAAGTATATATACATATGACTTTTAAGAGACTGTTTATATAAATATATGAATAATGAATTATTAACTTTATAATGGAGTCAATATTTTATTAGGTAATAATGAAAATAAAATTACTTATAACATCAATTGAAATTAAACTATTTATTATAATAACCAAGCAAATGTCAGTAATACTTTGTATGTTACTTTGTGTCAAACTTTAGATGTGTGGATTTTATATAACCATCACTTATTTAGCCTATTATAAATCTTCATATTACTTCAGTGTATTAATTCCCAGCATATTTTTGGCCTAAAATGAAAAAAAGCATAGTTAAATACAGAAATTCTTAGTTTAATAGGAGACAATGGAAAAATAAAATAGCCATTTATTTATCATTTAATTTAAACCATACTAAAATTAATGAATCACTGTATTCATAATACTAGTGGCATTTAATAAATTTCAATAACAACAATATACAAGATACCAGACCACAGAGTGTATACTTTAGTTAAAAATAAATAAATAATTCCTTACTGTCGTGAAAGCAGCGGTTAGTGTTTGCGGCGCCGCAGCTACTGGACTTAAATTTAACGCTGTTTGTATTAGTTGAGCGTCACGTATGCGTGAAGCAATAAAATTCCTAGTGGCATTACAGTCTTGGCTGCTATCTGTTAGATAAAACAACTCTGCTGCCTTATATATTCCTGCTACTCCCACTCTGCGCATATACCAGTTAAACTGAAAATTTAAATAATTATATTATAGTTATGCTTTCCCAAAAAGACAGTCCAAAAAAAAACGATGTTGAGATTTGAAAATGTATGAAATATAAGTCCTCCTTACTCAACATGAAATTGAAGATATACCAAATGCAAGTTGATTCAAAGTAATGCCTTAAAGGCTATTCATATATAGTGTTGCATAGGCAGAAATATATTTATAACTAGGTAGGTAGGTACTCACATCTACACTCCTGTCCCCAGAATAATAGCAAATATCATCAACAAGAGATAATAATGTTGCCAAGCAATTGGGTACATTGTTTGGTAGAGTTTGAATTGCCATTGCTTTTGGCCATGTGTTCCTAAAAAGAAAATAAAATTATACTGTCTACATATTAGACTGAAATAATAAAATAAGTAGATGTTTGATTGCTATGTAAGCAGGTATATAACAAATTTTACTCACTTATATGGATCAATCATCAGTAATCTTTGGTGAATGGCATTCTCAACAAATTTGGCTGGTACTTTCTCTTGTGCATCCACTTTGGGCCACTATAAAATAGAAAAAATATTGTAGGTAAAGCAATTAGGTGCTAAATAATATAATATATTTTTATAGCTAAGTACTTACAGTTTTCATAGCATCCACTAACTGTTCATTACATCTGACATTGAAATAATGTACCAAATCCCCACCCCCATTAGGAAACAAGCCATGAGTTATAGTAGGGTAGCCAGCTGCTTTAGCACCGGCGCTCAATGATTCTACAGACCATCCATTCTTTGGGACAAATTGTAAGGCATTCTCGAAAATGATCTTTTTAATGTTTTCCTCGTATTGATGATCTTCTTGCTCATGATCACTAGAACTTGTGTAGGTAGTAGGAATAGAAAGTTTTGTATCCTTTTCAGGATTCACTTGAGTTTGAGAACTTAATCCTTGTGAACTTTTGATAGCAATAGAAGCGAATGGCCGAAGGGTCCTACGGCCATTCTTCAAGGCTGTTAACAAAATAAATATATAACTAATAAAAAAATGACTAGGATTATGCCAATTTTGAGGAGCTTAGAACAAAATAAACAAATAGTTACTATATGACAGTAAAATTATTTATTACTTGTATAAAACAAAGCTTAGCTTTTATATTTATTAACATTACATTTGTAACTGCTGCATTTTATTTATATTTATACATTCACATAAACGTCCTATTAAACCTTCAATTAGATGAAAAGCATTCAAAGCGGAATATATCATTTCTTTCACATTTTCTTCAGGTATCTTGTCCAATACATTTCCACCTACATTAACAGATACATTTATATTGCTTCCAGGTAGATTTTTTCCTTCTTCAATATCCTTAAGCTTAACCTCATAGTGAGCTTTTGACATATTTAATCCAACTCTTAGCTGTTCTAAATAATTATTTTCAATATACGAAAAGCAATCCCGGATACCTGTTAAATTTTTTGTATCTTTTAAAGCTAAATATCTAAGAAAATTTAAAGCAGTTATAATTTGATCAGCAAGTTCAACAAGATCTGACTCGGCACCATGAGGAAGATAGCATATTTTTTTTAACATGTTTAATAATTGAGGACCCCTGAAACAATCATCTATACAAGGATCCTCAAAGGCTTCATTTAATGAGCTTTTATATAAAGTTATTGCATAGCCAATCATGCCTGAATGATTTGATACTTCAATCAAATATTTAATTAGTGCACATCTTCCTTTGTAATCAAATTTATTAATTTGTTGTCCAATCAAGGCTACTGACTTTTTACGAATAGATTCATAACTAGAGTATATAGCTACATTAAATAATCCTTTGCACATACGAAAATGCACAGATGATGATAGAAGTTCATGTGACTGCCTATTGGGGAAGCGATTAACTATGACCTCACATAAAGCAAGTGCTTTGGTCAATGGGCCATATTCAGGAAAATTCAGTAAGTGAATCACAGAAAGCATTGCTGTATGGAGTATATATTCTAAGCTATACACTTGTGGTATTGCAGTTTCTGGTATTTGAAAATGTCCTGATAGAACAGTATAGAACAAGCCAGATAATGTGGTCAAGTTGATCTTTTCTTCATGTTCATAAGGCAACTTCTCTTCTTCCATATCATTACCCTTTGCAGGTTTCTTCTTTGAGTCTCTATCACTGGCTTCTAAGTATACTAAGAATTTTAAAATATTTTTCTCAAGACTACAAATGTCTTTTACAATAATTGAACAGTTTAGTCTAGCTTCACTGTTTGCATTTGTTTCTGGATCCATATCAATGTAAATCAAAGGTTTCCCAAGAAGACTTATCAGAAAGGCTGTTATTATTTGTTTTGTGTGCACATTGTTGTTGCAGGTTGAATCAACTTGAATGATCTCATCAATAAAATATCTGTAGAATGGGGGTAACAGGCTGTATACCCTTATAATCCTCCTGATGTTAGGATCAGAATCCATCAACAACCTTTCCTCACCTTCCAATTGGTGTTCAGATACAGCAATATTTTCAATGTAAGAGCTTATTGAATTAAAACACCATTCCAAAGATCTTCCCCTTTTAAAAGACTTTTTTTTCAGAATTTGTTGAAGTGCTGGTAAAATAATCCCAAATTGAGCATCATTCTTCGCAAGTTCTAATAACTCTATAAACTCTAGCAGAGCTTCCTCTGGAGCACATTCCTCAATAATTATTGATAACAATTGTTCACAGGTGCCATATAGTGATGGTTTTATAGTAACACTATCATCTTGAATTTTACCCACAATTACAGATATTAAATCCCAACAATTATCCTTATAAGCTGCAGTTAATCTTTTCTCATGAGACGCATTTAGGGCCTCCTTATATTTTTCATTATCCAGTAACGTAGAAATTAAATCAACAACATCTACACTCTGACTCATTTTGTAGTTCTAAGATATATTTATAATCCAAAAAATTCTGAAAGTCAAGTGCTCTAGATATATTAAAAATACTTTACGGAGGTTAGTTTATCTTCCATTTTCATCCACCGACAACATAAAATATTTAAATCTATTCCTACGTCTTTACTGCATAAAAATCTAAAGATTCTTGTACTTACAGCTGAGAATCTTCTGTAATGTACTCATGTTCAGTTATAGCTAGTGTAATAATTTATTTCATCTATTTCTTCCGAAAATGACAAGCTTAGCTTTTAATATAATGACTTGCTTGTAATGGTAAACACGATGATCGAAATAATTCAATCATCAATCAATGGAATGAGTTCCATAAAATCGTATCGACTATCGTACCTAGTATAGTACCTAGTATCTACTTTATAGAGATGGGGAGAAAATTCTATGAAAATATATCAAAGTTATAATATAATATGAATTTTAAAATTCAAGTACCTACGAACGAAACTGTAAAAGAACTAAGTAGAAAAACAGTTTAAATGGCAATATATTTTTATATTAAAATGTAAAATGTAAAGAAAAAAATAAAGGCGTATTTGTGTTTTTTTTTTGTGGTCCACGATTTATAGAAGGCTAATTGGCTAGTATTAGGTAATAGGTAGTCTAGCTAGACATATTTCTATGATTCCATCAAGAATCAAGACACGATGTCTGGCCTATTTGTCACTTTGAAGTAAAATGATACACGTCAAAGCTCCGACAGATTGGGATTGTCAAAAAATTCAAGTAATTCTTTGAAATTCTGGATTTCACTTGTTAGATTTTTTCTAAACTTCTTTTTGAGCACCTAAATTACAGTATAATAAAAGCTATTAAGAAACTTCAATCAACTTCATATATTGTACTGAAAATAGTGCTAATATTGTTTATCTTTTAGTTTAATGGGACCTAAAATTGTTTTGTATTTTTAGGCATTGAAAATCAGATTGAACCCAAGTATTCTGCAGTGAGAAAGTCAAATTAGCGTTACAAAAGTGTGCTTGGTCACTTGTTGTGTAAGACTACCAAAAATTGAGATGAAACTAAAGATATTTTATAGGAAATTACTTAAATTGTAATAGCCACTTTGTCCTAGATAAAAACGTATTTTATTAATCTAAATAAAAACAAATATGGCAACAAAACAGAAAAATATATTTACAAGGAGCAAACCCTTGATGAACATCTATAGTGGTGTAGACCATGAAGGAAAGGAGGTATGAAAATTATTACTAAAAGTATTTACACTAAATAATTTATTATAAATTGAATGATTATTGATAGAAAAATGTAATTTGAATATACTATACATAGTAAATAATGTTTTTTTTGAGGTCTCAAGTTGTTAAATTGTGACCTGGATGGAGCGAGAGGCTGTGACAGAATCATACCAACTTAAAACCAGTCTGTTCCTCCCTTGCTCCAAGCTGGAACCTTAGTAAATAATGGTTTTGTAATGTTATATTATCAGGTTGAGGTCCGTGAGGATGCAGAGCAGTTAGTGAAGTGGCATGAGATATCAGATGCACTGGTTGCAGCTGGTTACTACCGGGCCCAGCTACAGGGCCTCTCAGCATTTGACAAGATTGTGGGTGGACTCACATGGTGTATAGAACTGTGTGACATAGATGTTGATATTAGCCTCCTTTTTGAAGAGAATCTCACCATTGGAAAAAAAATGTAACTTTCCATAAAGTTCTATTGATTCAACTTGGGTATTAAGCAAGTGTTTAAAATACCACCAAAAAACTTAAAAATATTTTAATTTTCAGAGCATTGACTGAAAAAATAGTAAAGGTCTTGCCATCAATGAAATGTCCCCATACTATTGAACCTCATCAAATCCAAGGTTTAGACTTTATAAATATCTATCCACTAATTTTGTGGTTAATAAAATATTCAAGCGAGTTCAGAGAGGCCAAGGAAGATGAATTGAGGAAGTTTGCTGTTATGCAATATGATAAGTGTCATATATTTGAAACAGACAGGGCTGTCTTTGTCCAAAAAGAAAAACTGCTAAGAAACTTGGCTGTGGTACAGGTAAATTATATTTGTTATTCACTTAAATGCCATTTATAATAAAAGTGATAGATGCATAGTCTGTTGCTGATAAAAGTAATGTTTGTTTTCATGAGATAATATAATCAGTATTATATTTCAGTTAAAGCAAAAATGGCTTATCAATTCCATATATTGTTAATTATTCAACATACTATAGTACTAATTTAAGTTTTTATTTTCAGAATTTGTATAAGCCATGCAGAGTACGCAAGAGGAAGGGAGGACTTCCTGCCAATGAGCTGGAACAAGTGAATGCAACACTGTCTGAGTATGATCAACGCATGTTAATGCATGTGTCCGCCAATAAAGCAAATGTCAAAAATGATGATGGATTAGACTTTTTGGTAAGAACATTTTAGAATCTTCATTGGGTGCTTAGATTTTCCTTTTCCATTATTTTTTTTTTAAACATTGCCTCTCACTACGATTTACTCCTGTGTCATGGATGTGTTTACAAACAAATAATTTCATGGAACAACAATTTGTGGATCACACAAAGAGTTGTTTTCGTTCGGGAATCGGAAACCCGCGACACGTTGCGCGTTAACCAGTTGCCCAGCTATCGCGCCAACTGTGCAGTCTTGTTATTATTACTTTTATTTGTTAATTTAATTTTGTTTGTTTCAGTATGATTATGAGAAGACTTTAGCAGACCCTTCAGAAATCACAACTGAGGTTAGTACAAACAAACCTATTTGATCATAAGTAAAGATATAGGTATGTTTAATCCTTATGAGTGCTCAAAGAAATTGTGTTTACAGGCTAACAGATATGTGAAAGACCAAGACAGCAAGGGAACCGATGCAGATACAAAGATTCACTATGCAGTCCTACATTCTGAACTCACTGGAGAGGTTTCAAAAGAGCTAGAAGAGAGAGAAAAACATAAATATTCAGAAGATGTTGATAAACTTACTAAGAATATTGATGTTCTGGAAAAAGAAATACAAGCTTTCAAAGAAACCCATCAAGGCAGAATGGAAAATACTAAGAAACAATATGCAAATGTTCTTGCCAAGATGCAAAAAATTACTAATAAGTTGATGAAAACTGATGGGTTTAGGTATAGTAGATTTTATAATAAGCATTTTCCTTTTACACATTTTTTTATGTGAGAGCAGACAAACGGAACACATGGAAAGTGATCATCGCTGATAATGGACTTATACAACAACAGACAACAGTTTTCTAACACCGCCGGCAATAGTCCATTGCACATTCTTCTGAAATGAATGCGTTCTTATAGATTAAACGGGATAAATCGAAATATTCCTCAAGTTTAATAATTAAACCTTTACTATGTAGCTTTTTTGTCAGGGGAAAACCTTGAAATGACCTTCCCCGGCCAGGGTGAGGCGAGGAGTGTCAGACTCTTAAGCCCCCCCTGTTCCTTCTCCTGTTTACGCCGAGGCGGCCATGCCTCATCCGCTTGTAATTGATACGTTGAACATTGTATCAGAAATACTGAAAGTACAGTACTAAGTACAGTTAATTATTATTGACGCCTCTTGAGGCTACTGGTAAGGGCCTTAACCGCCCAAGTGTTGCATAACCACTTAATACGAATGCTATGTATTTAATTACATAATTTTTATGTTTTAGTGATAAAGATGTGAAACACTTCTACAAGTCTCTCAAGGAATTAGCAAGGGAAAGAAACGAATTGTTGCAAATAATTCAGCACAGGAACAAGGAGCATAGTAAATTACAAGAAAAGTTGCAGTAAGTCCAATTTAAGAGTAATTTAGTATAAATATTACAAATATATCTACATATATTTTTATTATAACTTTCGTGAGACATTCTAAATTATTTATTATGTTTTCGGCTTACTCACGTAATAATTTGACGAGATACTCGACTAGTTACAAGCCATGCTAGAGGCCCATATTCATGAGCAGCATTCCGCGACACGCGACTCAGCGACTAGCACGGCGGCGGCGACGGCGGTAGCAGCGCGACTGTCGCCGAGTCGGCCTCTAGCATGGCATTAAATTATTACGTGATTAAGCCGAAAACATAATAAATAATACATCTACATTTTACTGTTACAAATATAAAAATAATAATTTATAAAATATTGATTTTTTTTAAGATAATCTGGAGTAACTAAGAGAGTGATGATAACATAAATATGAACTAAAACCATTTATTGTTAAACAGCAGTTTTAGTAAGCTTAAGTTTAGTTTATAACTAAAATAATTAAATGTTTTAATAAATAACAGGGCAGCCAAGGATCCAGAGGCCAAAATCGATGATAAGCCGCTATCGCCTGCGGAATTAAAAGAGTTCAATGAAAGAGAAGAGAAATTGAAGGCTTTCATCACAGCCATGAGGCTGGAGCTAGCCAAGTTAAACAGGGAGGTGCTGCGGTACTCTACTGCCATTGATGAGGTGCCTGGTACTGCAGAGCTGTTGCAGTATGAGAAGAGATTCATTGAACTTTACAACCAAGGTAAAACGGCAGTCAATTGCCTCACACTTATGTATTTTCTCCTGTGTCGTGGGTGCGTTAACTAACATAAGTTTTAAGTCTGGGAGAGCCATGCTTTGGCACGAATTACCACAGCGTTGTATTTCGCCGTGCGAGTGAGGTTACTGGACGGCCAATCCTTCCCCTCCCCCAATCTTCAAATCCCTTATCCCCAAAAGGTCGGCAATGCGCTCGTAACTCCTCCGTTGTTACGGGTGACCATGGGCGGCACTGATTGCTTTCCAGCAGTTAATTAGCTTGCACACTTCCCGACCTATCACTTAAAAAATCAACAATTTGTGGAAGTGTTGTTCTGTGTCGGAATAGAATGCACGATACGTTGCACGCGCAGCCGGTAGCCCGGCTTTCGCATCAACTGTGTATATATATTTTTTCACTCTGGATTTAGACAAAATCCTATGTTCCATGCTTACTGCTTTAGTTACGCGGCTCCGGTGGCGGCGCTTATTCATTTGTATTTACTTATAATCGGGTAACAAATATAACGTGCACATTGACACTCACTTTTCACCAGATACCGATATTATGTAATAGAGTGTGTGGTTCCAGGTCTATAAAGTCTCGAATCCAGGAATCACTGAAAAAGTATATATTTTATCTCAATGTACCTAATTTTAAAATTAACGGTTGTTTCTCAACAGTTGCATCGAAGCATAAGGAAACAAAACAGTATTACATATTCTATAACACATTACTTGAAGTAAAACTATATACCTCAAAAGAGTTGAGTCTGCTCAACTCTATACTGGATAACTATGAAGAGTAAGTATCAGGTTAAGTAAAAAAAACTTCGTGTTTAAAAGGATTTCAAAAGAATTAGTCTTATGCTGATGTATAATAAGAGTCATTTATTTTTAAATCTCGCCCTTCTCTTTATTGTTGATTTTGTACAAAACAATGATATTTAAAGATAGCGACTTCGTAATTTTGATGCATTACTTTATTATATCTTTGAGCTTGTCTTCCCTAAGTGTGAATCTGTATAATTCGTTTTCAATATATCTACTTATATTTTAATTTTACAATACACTTGTCTTTAGCAGAATATTTTAAAATATATATGATGACATGTAATAAATCGGCCGTTAATATTTCAGAGCTATGTCTTCAGTCAGAAAGCGAGAAGAATTTATGAGTCAGTTCGAATCTATTGTGGACTGGGTCAACCACACGGTAAGGAAAGTCGAGGAAAAGTTTAAAAATGAGAAGGAAAGGAAAAACGATCTCTACAATGAATACTCAAGGTTGATGGACGTCCAGAGACAGTATGCTGCCGCATTGAAGAAATTAGGAGAACAACGTCAGAGGATAGATACAGAAAAACACAGTTGACCTATTAACCATATCTCTTAAATATTCTAAAGACTTCGGTCTCGCTTATATATTTCCACAAGCATAGTTTATCTAGTCCCCAGTTTATTAGATTAATAATTATTTTCTACTTTTATACATAAATATTCCAGAGCCCTGAAACATATAATTTAAGACTGAATATAGGTTTTATATTGTTCAAATGTATTTGTAATTCTGTGTTTGTGAATGCAAAAAATATTTAAGAAAATAAACAACACGATTAATATAATGTTATATCTTCATTTAATACCCTGATAGAACAATCACACACTGTTTAAAACAACAATTTTGAAGGGTACATGCACCTTTTGTGCTATACACAGCTGGGTACGTTATCTGAATGGTAACTCAACATTTACGATCTTTCAGAGCGTCTGCTGTGGCTCTTGAGAGTTCCTTTGTGAATGACTGTGTCCAGTGGCTTGTACTTGACTATGGCTATGTCTTTGACTTTGTGAACTTGCACTAGTTTTCTTGTACATCGTAAAGGAAACCAGCTCCCGATTGGCATTCGTCATTGTCATAGCGTGGGAGACGACGTCGTACCCAAACAATGCGTGGATACGATTAACTACGACTAGAGTAAGCCCTTTCAGTCTTACTTGGACATCTTTTTGCGAGGATGTCAACCATGCTACCTGGTGTCCATAAGACTTGTTCAACTGCTGAAAAGAATAAACGTTCATTGTTAGCTAGGTACCTATTTATTTTTTTATATGTTGTCCGTAACTTTATGCGCCAATTCTAACAATGAAAAGTACGAGTACCTACTTAATAAGTTGTATGTAAGTGCAATAGAATAATGATTTTGCATGACCTATGCATTAGCATTTTATTTTATTGATTAGTGTTTTATTTGCCAATAAGCCCGAGTCTAGGCTTGGGCCCAGGGTTTGGTAATTAGTTAACGTTACTACGGTACAACTTTTCCGTGTCTTGTATAAAAAAGAGGCGTGATGTTACGTTATTTTTTAAGCTTAACTTGTAAGTAAAAATGAAAATAATCGTAAGTATAAAGAATTGGAACTTTAATTACATCCATGAATAAATTGCGCTCTTCCGTATTAAGTCCATACACAGTAGCACCCTCATCATTTGATAGATGAGCTACGCTCACACTTCCTATTACCATGACGTACGGCATATTTATTTATTTACAAGTTTCACTTCACAGCTAAAGTAAAAAAAATATTTGTGTATTCTATTATAATAGTAAAAAAATATCACCGGTAGATTAAGTACGTATATCAAATATTAATTAAATTGTACGAGATATCAAGCAAACAATCACAAATATCGTGTGAATTTGTGAGTGAGGCAGGTGGCCACCACAGACTACTTAGAGATACTACGTATGTAACCACGCCACGGACACAGCCTGTTGTAACCACGAACGTTCGTGTACTTGTGTGTGAGTTGAATCCACTAGAAGCACTACCTGCATGTGTGGTATACAATAGCATTTCTATGTAGGTAGGTTGCTGTACGGATTGCTAATGACGCGCTTGTAGTTGTTCGAGACGTGACGTCGAACCAAATGACCTTCACGGGTGCTTGCTCTGCGCAGACGCAAGTTGTCCAACAGCTCGCAATCGACCGTTGACTCTCGTTTACTCATGAACAAACAATATTGAAGCAAGACGGTATCTAATAGACAGGATGAAATTTAATAAAACCCTGCCAACTCTAAAAGTTTACGCTAATTTGGTTTGTACGGTACGTAAATATATAAATATAAGTTTTGACGTAATTGGTACCTACTTAGTACCTAGTTTTTTAGTGTTCCTAGTAGTTTCTTGCACATTTAGGAAGCATAAAATATTCACTCTCGCCTAACCCTGGGCGGGAAAAGTCATTTGATGATTTTCCCCTGACAAAAAAAGGAAGCATAAAATAAATATCCCGACGAATTGAGAACCTCCTCTTTTTTATTATTATTAAACGGTTTTTATTTTATTCATTATCATTATAAATCTAAAATTTTTTGGTGTTTAGTAGGTACATTTATCTTAAATATTGCAATGTATGTTTAACATAACACCGTTTAACTTAAAAAGTTTTTTTACCTATTTTCATTTTGAAGTCGGTTAAAAATGTATATAATAACTACGGACATGGAATACCACTGGCGACTAATTTAGTCCTATAAAAAACAAATGTAAATCAGGATGTCATGACGATTCTGACATATTTTCATGGTTAACAGTTTGTGTATAAATATTGGAAAGGTATTTACAAAATAATATAGGTAATAATCATGAGCCATTCTATGAGCAGCCCGAGAAATATTCAGTTAGGTAAGGTTTTACAATGCTGAATTTTATAATACCTAAATGATATGAAAAACGCATGATAAAGCAAGATATCCGATATCTGGGATACCAACCTACCCTCCCATGTATTATCTACTTGAGGCTGGGGATGGTCGTCAAAACTATAACTATGATAGATAACTACTACTAGGACTTAAATTTTTGCCCAAATTAATTAATAAATAATACGACACTTAATTTTTAGTTTTCGAGACCTACCAGAAGGCACGACTCGTATTTGTTCAAAGTATGGCTGAACTAGCAACTCGAGCAACTAATGTTAAATGCTTGGAGAGCGCAGGTGTACTTGGTAAATATGATACCTACAAACGCGTGCGTTCGTGCAGCGGAATGTTGTTGAATTTAAAGATTTTAATGATGCAGATATTTAGTGTATGACGTCGTATAATTGTGTATGGTAAAAAAAAATTTGTGCACGCAACCATTGTGGAGAAATTCACCAAAAACTGATTCCGCTGGGCGAACGTTGTCCTGGCGGAACTTTTTTTAATCCATAGACTTTAGAAGAAAAGAGATGTATCCAAAAATTAGTGTGTATTTGTGTGTAATTGTATGAATAAAACTAGTGCATGCATAAACTTCGGAGAAATTCAAGTTTCCGCTACGCGAACGTTTGGCCATTAGCTAGTTTTCATATAAAGCGCTTACATAGAGAGCTGTAGATTTTTACATATGTTGTTTTTAATTTGTGTATATTTGTTTAAAAAACAGATTGAGAAAAAATCGAAGGGTTTAAAAGATAAAAATATAAACGTAAAATACGCTTATTAGGTCTTAGTTCTTAAAGTATGCACTTTGGGGTCTAGATTTTCACGTTTATACAAACCTTGTAAGTGTCTGCAACATGTTGCCAAGTATCAATGATGTTCCGTTAGTAATTAAATAGTTATAGGACAAATTTACCATGAATAGATCACTGTTTACAAAGCAGTCAAATATCACGACGTTCTAAATGAATTGCATGGTAAAATGTATGCCAATAATTAGTGTATTCATTCAACTATTCATATGCAAAATTTCATGTCATTAAATTCAGTAATTAAAGAAAAACAATTATAATACTGACGAAGCATCGAAAACCTATATACCCCGACCAAGTTCGGATGGCTACAAAAAAGCTAGTTTTATTCATACATACACAATTACACACAAATACACACTAATTTTTGGATACATCTCTTTTCTTCTAAAGTCTATGGATTAAAAAAAGTTCCGCCAGGACAACGTTCGCCCAGCGGAATCAGTTTTTGGTGAATTTCTCCACAATGGTTGCGTGCACAATTTTTTTTTTACCATACACAATTATACGACGTCATACACTAAATATCTGCATCATTAAAATCTTTAAATTCAACAACATTCCGCTGCACGAACGCACGCCCTACAAACCTATTGTTCATTTATGTACCTACATCCAAACTAATATTATAAATGCGAAAGTAACTATATCTGTCTGTCTTTTCTTCACGCCTAAACTACTGAACCGATTTCTGTGAAATTTGGTTTTACACATAGCTTGGAACTCGAGAAAGGACATAAGATAGGTTTTATATCAAAAATCTGCAGAAATTCACTATTCCACGCGAACGGAATCACGGGCAAAGGCAGTAATAATTACTTTATTCCTGATAGTCATGTTATATAAAGTATAATTTATTTAAATAGGTACCTACGCAATAAACTAAGTGGGTAGGAGGGAAGTGCAAACTTACCTCGTGCTCATGTAGGTGCCAAATGCACCAGTTCGTGGTTGTAATTAGGAATTATAAAAAAGAGAGCTTCCATAATTTTGGTAGTGGTTTATGGAGTGCGTTTGTTGTTGTGGTCACAAAGCGAATGCCGAGCAAAGCGTTTGAGAACTTTTGCATTCGACGTTACCTACTTGGCCAGTTAAAGGGTAGGCGATGATATGAAATATGAATTTATGATAATCACCCAGATTTGTTGCGACCTCTACTGTCTGATGCGTGCAGTACCGTCCGCCAATGCGCCGTTATCGCAGCCGCACGGCTTTCAGAACACGATGAGGGTGTTGCACGACAACTACTAAATGGGGGCATGGTAACCATCGCCCTTGAAAATCTCAATAAATATAATGTGAGTGTCAATGATATTTTATTCATTATCACACCTATCAATCTCAAGACGTCCACTGCTGATCGTAAGTTTCCCCAAATAGCTTCGAGATTGGCCGATCGGAATCGACCTGCATCTAATATAAAGGTACCTTCTTGGACTTCCGACGTTTGGCTCCCGAGCTGGAACGGACGAGGCAGTGCTCAAGCAGCTTCTCTCCAACTTGGGGGGGCGGGGCAACGCCTCCTACCGGAGGTTGTGTTTGGGGATCTTGCGATCCATAGCCGTCTACGGGGCTCTTGTGTACTTTTGTAGGTGTTTAATTTGAAGCGGCGTTCAATTAAAGCTGGTCATGTGCCAGAGGGTCATGCATGATTATAATAATATGGCTGGTTCATGTGGGTATCGCATGAATCCTTGGATCACCATAAAATCTGGAAAAGCGCGACACTTGCGCGCTTCTTCATTTGGCTATTCGGCGATCATTTTTAATTTTATTAATTCTGTAAATAGGCTGTTCTTAATTCCAGCTATCTACTTCCACAGGTGTATTATAAAAGGTCTGCGTTGTATTTAATGAGAGCTGTTGCCAAGTAAGTATAAGCGTTACAAGATTACGAGCAAGTACAATTATTTATTTTGTTTACACTTACCTCATTTTGCAGACATAATGAAGAATTGGCATCTGCTATTGTAAGACTCGGGGCGTTGGAACATATCGTTTCGTGTTTAGAAGATTTTGATACGCAAGTAAATATTCTTACAATTTCTGAATTAGATAATCACTACAAAGAAGGGAGAAAGGTACTGATTTATTTGGTATAATTTTAGGTAAAAGAGAATGCAGCGTGGGCTTTGGGGTACATAGGCAAACACAGTGAACAAATAGCAGGACAAGTGGTCGATGCTGGTACGCTGCCATTATTGGTTTTAGCTTTTCAGGAGCCCGAAATAAGTTTGAAACAAGTTGGTACTCCGATAGTTGCTCTGAATTTGATAATCAATTTGATCACAATTGATATGCAAACTAACTGACGGTTGTTTTAGATCGCAGCTGGCGCGCTGGTAGACTTGGCTCAGCATAAACCCGAGGCTGTAGTTGATGCTGGAGCTATTTGCCATTTGGTTCACGGGCTGGAGAACCAAGATCCTAAACTAAAGGTTTTTTTACTCATGTAGAGCTTAAATAGTTGCCGACTTTAACTTTCCTGATTTTTAAAATTCTCACCAATTCTTAGGAAGAAGTTTTTGGGACTTAGTAGGGTACCTATACCTTCCTGGTATTTTACGAAAGGTTCGCCCTTTTCTGCGGAAGTCATAACATCTCTTCTAACACCGTATCCTAATGCATATCGTTTAGCGTAGCACACTATGCGCATTGGGCGCAGTGGCGGGTGCTCGCACGGAGCTGGCGGAGGCGGTGGTGGCTGGAGGGGCTTTGCCACCAGCATTACTGCACGCAGGCCACGACGCCGCTCCCGTGCGTCGCGCTGCGGCGTGTCTCCTCAGGGATATCGTCAAACACTCCGTTGACGTGAGTAATGTAACGCCTGGCTTGTGTGTTCAAAAAGGAATGGATGACGTACGATGATGAGTACGTAGTTGACGAGGGATTTAAGGGTTTTAAGTGAGGGAGAGCCAAGCTTTGGCATGGACGCATGATGGGGAAGTGTACCACAGCCTCACTAAAAACCGGCATGAAACAACCACAGCGTTGTGAGTCGTATGAGTGAAGTCAAAAGGCCGACTCGTAACTCCTTTGGTGTTCCGGGTGTCCATGGGCGGCGCCGATTGCTTACCAAAAGGTAACCCGTTCGTATACCGACTAGTTTCATAAAAAAGTGTAGTAAAATATTATTGTTTAACTTGTCGTGGATAAATTTATGAAATCATTTGTAATTTAAAAAACCTAATTAGTTTAAGAGCCGATATTTAAATTCTGTGTTCTTAGTTGGCGCAATTAGTTGTGAACACAGGAGGATGTGGTCCGCTAGTGGAGCTTCTAGCCGAGTCGATAGGTGGTGGTCGTGTGCCTGCTTGTATGGCACTTGGTTTCATCGCTGGACAGTCTGATCAGCTGGCTATGGCTGTTGTTGAATCTAAGGTTTGTATAGTAAGGTACATAGAAGAAACCAGTGGCGGATTAACGTATAAGCACTACAAGCACGTGCTTGGGGCCCCCGTTTAGCAGGGGCCTCCATCCTCTGCTGCTGTTTGATTTTATACCTATATGTTATCGAGATTGAAATCACAAGGCGCAAGCGAGTGACCCTTCTTACGGTAGGTCGCGTCGTGCCGCGAGACCTAGTACTTAGTCATCTTAGGAGTTTAATCTCCCATGGCGTCCTCACCTTCCGCCTGACGCAGGACCTGACCTTCCAGCGGACGACGAGTAATTGTAGCTCGCCTCCCGACTAAAACCAGACCCGAGCGTACGGCGCGTAGCGTTTCACGTGCGCCTCAAAGAGCTAATAATTATAGATCACCACAGACGGGGCCCTACAGGGCTAATGCTTCCGCAGAGGGGGCTCCACGGTGACGCCATCATGTGCGTGATGGACCTCACGACGAGGACTGCGTTAGCCAGGGGGCGAGTCGTCGTGGCGGTGTCCCTGGATATCACCAACGCCTTCAACTCGTTGCCCTGGAGCTGCATTCTGGAGGCACGAGTATCACCGGGTGCCTGCCTATCTCACCGGTCACCGGGGCGTGTGGAATCGGCGAGAGGTGTCGCGCGGTGTCCACAGGGATCGGTCCTGGGACCTCTCCTGTGGAACATCGGGTACGGTTGGGTATCGGGGACCTCCCGAGCGGCGTCAGCATTGTCTGTTATGCTGACGACACGCTGGTGCTGGCGAATGGGAAGTCGCATCAGGCGGCGGCCGACCTGATGTCGCAAGCGGTCGCAACAGTCGTTGCAAGGATTCGGCAGTTGGGGCTCGAGGTGGCGCCCCACAAGTCCGAGGCCATGTGTTTTTATGGCCGTCGGAACGCGCCACCTCCAGATGAGTCCCAAATAACGGCAGGAGGAGTTACCATCGGCGTCGAGTCGGCGATGAAGTACCTGGGTCTCGTCCTCGACAGCCGATGGAACGTCACGGAGCATTTTCGTCATTTAGCTCCTAAGTTGGAACGGTCTGAGGCCGCGCTCAAGCGGCACCTTCCCAACCTTGGGGGGCCAAACGCCTCCTGCCGGAGGTTGTATATGGGGATTATGCGATCCATGCCCCTCTACAGGGCCCCTGTGTGGGCGCCGAACTTGAGGCGGCGGCCAGCTCCTACGCTGGCCGCGTCCCAGAGGGTCATGGCTAACCGGATAATCCGCGGATATCGCACAATCTCCGGTGAGGCGGCGAACCTCCTTGCCGGATCACCGCCGCGGGATCTGGAAGCGAAGGCGCTCGCACGCGTCTAAAGTTTGCGCGTCGCCCGGGGCGAAGATCTGCCGCGCCAAATTAGTGCGTGGCGGAATGAGCTCCGGCGAGATCTCATGGCTGAGTGGAAGCGGGAGAAGTCATTAGATGATTTTCGCCTCACAAAAAAAAACAGGGCTAATGCTTACCCAGGGTTGCGGTCGTGAGGTTACCTGGACTTTACAAGTTTGAAATTGCCAATCAGCCCTGAGCAATCGTGATGATGTGGGAGAAGAGGCCTTTGCTCAGCGGTGGGCACTTATTATAGGCTGATGATGTGATGATGCGATCTCAAATTCCGAGATTTTTCTTGAGAGTTGTCTTTGCATTGCAAATGATAGCGCCCATACGCGTTACCGCACGTTCTTACTTACTTCACGACGATATAATCTCGGATTTAGCTCTGATTAAAGCAAGGAAATGTTTAAGTCTTAAATTATACCTACTACATTTTCTATAATGATGAACTTTCATTTTATACTTTCTGCCTTCTATTTACATTTAAGCAATAGAGGGCCTACACGGGCTCTGTGCTTAGGGCCTAGGATACTCTTAATCCGCCACTGGAAGAAACAGATACAGAAACAATAAGATGCCCAAGTCCAGAATAGAACCTACGAATATTAACTTTGGGGTAAAAGTATTCTGAAGTGGATATACCTTAAAGCTATTACATGCGTAGTGGTGTAGTGCATAAGATTGAGTCAATTAAGTGCCATACTATAATAAACTTCAAGTAAAATATGAGCCTATGTCCAGTTGTGAAAACAAACAGGTTGATAATGTTGTTAAGTAATTAACAACACTGCAAAATTGCTATTTTCTATTCTATCATGATATTTGTAGGCCATCCCAGCATTAGTAGAAATACTGCAAAATAGTGAAGCAGAAGATGCAGAGATCTGTGCATCTGCTTGGACATTGGGGCACATAGCAAAGCACTCACCTCAGCACAGTCTGGCTGTAGCTGTCGCTAATGCTTTACCTAGACTTCTTCAGGTAAGCTGATGACATTTTTAAGTCTCCAGTACCAAGATTACAAGGATAATGTTTTTTTTGTTTGCACATCAAAGGCACCTATTCTGCTGAACGGAACTAAAACTTACTAATAGAATAAAAAACTATTTCTCTAATAGAAAGCAACATTACCAAATAGTAGTATAGCCTATAATATACCCATGCAATACCAGAAAGGTCATTACACTTCTCTTTTTTTGTTTTAAAATGTAATACAGCTATATACCAGCCCCAAATCCTCAGGAGAGGTCCGTGCTAGAACATCGTGTGCTTTGAAACAAACCCTGCAGTGTTGTCTACATAGACCTGCTTTGGAACCATTGCTGCATTCTGCTCCTGCAGGCATCCTTAAATATGTTCTAGCACAGTATGCTAAGGTAACTAATCAACAAATTATTAATCACCCGTGTAGGTTGTACCATACCATGTAAATGTATACATATGTTTTCTTTTCAATTTTAAGGGTTTGATCTAAATGTTGAAGAGCACATTTTGAAGTATATCAAATTACTATTTACTATACGTATATATTTACGAGGTATATCGCCTTTGTAATTTCTGTCAGTACAGCTCTATTGATGCAAGCTTTATCACACAAATTAATTTTAACACCACCATTGATTGTTAATCTAAAAATGTGGCATGACCAACATTTGAAAAGTGCCATTTTTGAAAGACTATGTTTAGGTATGGAGGTTGTCAATCTGCCCATAATATGATGTTACTGATGTTAGACTTCTATATTAGCTTATATGTATACTATTAGTAAAAATAAGCTTAGTGAAGAAAGTGGTTGGAATGAGGTAGTTTTTAGTAAGTAAGAGACTAACTCATTTTGCCCCACCCAAGCCGAGAGAACACATTGTATGGTTTCCCCTATGAAAAAATCTTGTAATTCAACCTAAAAAAAATCTGTCTGCTGATGTTGAAAATAATTTACGTCTAACAAAGCTTTGAAAAATGCTAACAAGCCATTCCTAAATTTAATCACATTTCTAAAAAGTAGCAAATGGAAGGTAGTTAGAATAATAGAGCTGCTAAATAAATAAAACAAGTAACTAATGACATGAAAAGTCGATAATGAAATACAACAGGCATGAGACAGCTGAAAGAGGCTTTCTATATGTAAGTGTTTTCAAGTGACCTGTTCCACAATTTCCAATGGTTGGATGCCATTGATTCTTTAACTATACTAATAAGAATGACACTAAGCAGTCCCATCTGTATGATAACCTTGCTTGTACTGATATGTTGCTGTTTTGGCAACTTCAATACATTTGAGTAGGTACTCTGAATGTGAGTGAGTGACTCACTATGTAATGATTGATACCTACTGATTGTACCAACACTGCACATGATCTGAAATAGAACTTGCATGCAACCTGAATACATATGCTAGCTTATGTCTTCCCAAAATTAATGGAGGCAAACTGAATACAGATCCATTACACATAAGGAGTTGTGCAACTAGAGTCAATGTAGATATGAAGAGCACAGTTTTGAAGTATATCTAATTTATTAAGATACATAATCCAAACTTATATATAAATGTGAAAGTCTGTCTTTTGTTCACACCTAAATTACTGAACCGATTTCTGTGGTATTTGGTATAGACATAGTTTGAAGAAAGGACATAGGATAGTTTTTTATTCCAAACATCTACAGGAGATCACTATTCCACGCAAATGGAGTAACAGGCAAAAGCTAATTAATAATAATAATCACATCTAGTTAAAAGATTTATATTAATTTTATTGTAATATCACAGACAACACAGTCAAGTCAAATGACATAACAAATGATGAGATACAAAATATTTGACTATCACTAAACTCATATATGGATATTTCTTATAATGAATGGAGCTGTCCTGAATAAGAAAAGGCTTTGAAGTAGGTTTACGTCAAAGCCACCTACCTGCTCAGTACACAGGCCCATCATCAAGATTATCATCTTCCTCATCATAGTCCTCACCATTGTCAAAGTAGTTATTAGCATAGTCTGTTCCATCATCAATTTCAAATTCTTCTTCATGTTCATCTTCAACCTCCTCGTCATCATTTACTTCTTTGTTATTAACAGCCTCTTCATTTTCAGTAGCATCCATAGCTTCATCGCCTTCTTGAATTTCTTTCTTTTCTAATGTTTGTAATCTTTTCGCTATAGCTGCGGCATCGTCTAATTTTCGTTTAGGTCCCGCCGCGGCCGATGCACGCAATTTTTTCGCCTGTGGCCTCAGTTCTGTTGGCATGTTAGCCCAAACACAATCTAATACTTTGTCTTTCTTGGCATTAAGAGCAAGCATTTTGTATTTATCTGAATATCGCTCAACGCCATCCGTCTGGGCTGGTTTTTTAACGTAGGCCGGGGACTCGTGTAAGTATTCAATAAACTGATCTTTCACAATTAACATGTAGTCAGTAGCGGCGTCGTAAGTTAATGGAAGTGGTTTTGCTTCAAGTTTTGGAAATAGTGGAGGAGGTACTACAGTTTGTGGAGTGTTCTCGCCTCTTGCTATGCCGAGTGCTTGCAGTTGATCATGTGTTAAAGATAGGTTGCTTCCCCCACGTCCTCTACCTCTTCCTGCCATGGCAATCTAATTTACAAACTGAAGTTACTTTCAGAATTCTTAGCTATGTCAATTTTCTAAAGATCGCTCAGTTCAACGAATGCTAAGTAAAACAACTGGTAAGTGCAGATTTCCGGGCGCGCGTTGTATTTTCGTTCATCAACTAACAACTAATGTCAAATAAATACTACAACCTAGGTACCAAGTGATTTTGACGTTCCACAAAAAAAAATTGTAACTACATCTTAGTTGTAAACTTGTCCTTTTAGACAAATAAATATAAAAATTATCATAATTATTGTACATACACGATAATTATGATAATGTGTTTAAAATGAAAGTTAACTTGTATTCAATGCACTTATTGTTTTATTTTATATATACCTAGATCTTACCAAATGATGCAAGGGCAAGAAGACTATTTGTTACCACTGGTGCTTTGAAACGGGTGCAAGAAATTGATACAGTTCCTGGGTCATCGCTCAAAGAGTACATCAATATTATAAATAGTTGTTTCCCTGAAGAAATTGTGAGGTAAATGTTTTACTAAAGAGAGTTTAAGCGGCAAAGATTTTTATAAAGTCTTCATTATTAAGTCAAAAAGAATGGCGCATGGAAACTAATTAGAATAAAGTTTGTGCAATGCCAACATCTATTTACTCCGCGTTACGCTATGTATTAAATTAACCTAGTTTCGTCGTCTTTTTAGATACTACACTCCTGGATATTCGGATTCGCTCCTAGATCGAGTAGAAGCTTTCACACCTCAGGTGAAAATGATTTTTTGACAATTAATTCGTAATGAAGACTTATGAGTGATTTCTTTAACAAATAAATTATTTTATTTACAGATACCCGAGCTTTTTACGGACAGAGTTCCCAGCGACTGCCAAAGCGAGTTAACTATAGAAAATGCAAATTAATATTTTTATATTACTTTATTCAATAAATTGGATTGGTTACACATGTCATTATGTTCTTCCTAATGTCCACACTATTTTTTGCACTTGTATGGTCCTTCCGCCAATATTCGTTTTCTCCATTGCCATGGACTGACTAATAATTCTGTAACTGTAAACGTTACGTAATTATGTTGAAAACTGTAAATTCGAGAAACAAGATCGTTGTAAAAAGTATTCTAAGGATACTCACTTGTACTCATCGCCGGATAAAATATTAAGGACGTTAATTCCTTGAGTATCAACTTCAAAAAAATGTTCTTGTTTGCTATTAAGTAAATTCAAATCGGTAAATTTCCTCTCCAGACTTAGTATTTCACTCGTTTGTAATCCCTGAAATAGTTAAAAAAACGATAAGTAGGTAGCTTATTTTTATTTCCATTGGGTTGACTTTGCCCTCCTAAGATAACACTAGGAAGACGCGAGGTTCTTTTGAGTTCAAGCAACAGTCCGGTCGGTAATACCCCTCTTTGAGGAGTGACTAGAGAGACGCCATAGCGTCCTCACCTTCTGCCTGACGCAGGTACTTACCGAACACGTAAGTTTCGGTAGGTAGGTACTTGTTTCGGATACGGCGAGAGGAAACGCTCGGGTGCCGTCATTGTAAAAACCTCACGGTGAAGGTGTGTGCCCTGCTTTGCTGATCAAAAATTATCATGTTCCGCCGTGTTCTCAGAGAAGTGATCGGCGGCGGCGACCTCTCACGTCCGGCCTTAGGCGAGAGCGTGTTGCGGAGCGAAAGGAACTGGCCAGCCGCCTTCTCTTACTACGAAGCAGTGATGCTCGCTACCTCTACCTATCTTTACTAATCCTCCTCACGTCCCAGCCGCTGCAGGGTGTAAAGAGTTTGATACTCCCTCACGCCTCACCCTGGGCGAGAAGTTATTCGATGATTTTCCCCTCACAGAAAGCAATTTATAGAAAGTACCGGTACCTAGTTATTATTGAATATCTCATTCTATAGTTAGGTAAAAACAATTTTGACCAAGGAGACTACCCTAATTAGCTAGGTAGACTAATACCTCCTTTCTTTACTCGCCCCAAATGAAGGAAACCTATATAGTTTTTCGTCTCACATGCGAAGGATAGATATTATATATGACGGCGCGTCGATTATTTAAATTGAATTTTGAAGGAGGTTTTATCACAATTCATCGGACGAGGGTACCATGAATCGTACTCTGGCGGAACGTCAAACAGACAGTTCTGCGTGCGCATTATGGTGGAGAGAGCGCTGTGACTGTCATCTAAAACGGATCGCCGACGTCCGTTATTTTTGTAATTTATTCGGTCTGATTATAAAATCCTACGCCCTACGATGAACTACCAATCCCCCGGTGCCTTCAAACATATAAATTATTTATCCTGGTTAGAGTATTATGTGGTCACCCTACCCTACCCACAGGTATTGTTTCTTCATCTCAGAATACAGAACAAACCAGAAGCCGCGTTCACTCATAATTACATGTCGTCAAATGTGTCCAAAAACAATACGTCAATCCCCCCGCCAGCCGCACTTCCCACCCGCGTAGTGTTGCCGACAGTGGAACAATTCCCTTGGTTTGGGGTAATTTTACAACAGGACGGTAAGATATATTTTGTTGGGTAAACCCAACAAAAATACGTAAACTTACTATAAATGTTAACGTTAATTTTAGTTACACCTACTGTGCACAACAAAGCTTCAATAAGTGCGAAGGTTTAGCTTTTGCTGGTTTAGTTTTTTATAATTATTAAACGTGGTCTACTTATTTTCTTACCAATCTGGAAGCTCCGGAGACCAAATCGTGATCGATGTATTTCCCACTTTAGATTTCGGCTAGATAGTAGGGGTTTTCTCCAGTATGACAACACTGACACTTTATAGCGATAATTTAGGTTTATTTGGTTACAAAATATTTAGATTATTTGTTTATTTATTTAGTTTTATATATTGCACACATTTGACATGATCTTCTTTTTATTTACGAGTGACATTAAATTTTTCTAACAGTTAGTTGCCTAGCAATGTACCAAAGAGCTTTTCACTAGTGCTATGCAACCTCAACACTTTCCCTCACTAGTTGGAAAGATCTTGCAGACCCAAATCCTCTCTCAGTTTAACGAGTCTGGGTCTTGGTACTGCCTTCGTCAAAAGGTCAGCCAATTGCTCTGTGGAGCTAGTTTTCTGCACATTCAATAGACCTTCTTGCACAATTTCACGTACAAAGAAGTGACGTATTCGGATGTGTTTCGTCCGTTTATGAAATTCGGGATTGTGGGCAAGGCGAATCGCTGCTTCATTATCCACGCTTAAAGTTGATATGTCCGCCAAACTTGTAAGTTGAGCATAGATCCTCTGAAGCCACACAAGTTCTCGTGCACCTTCGCTCGCTGCCACAATTTCCGCTTCGGTTGTTGAAATCGCGACCGATGCTTGACGTTGGCTTAGCCACGAAACAACTCCATCAGCATACATACAAATAACGCCTGTGGTTGAGCGTCCACTAAGCTCATCACCACCGTGATCTGCATCACTATATCCTCGAATTACAGCTTTGCAAGGACCCGAACTGTATTTGATGCCATGGGACATTGTTCCTTTAAGGTATCTGAAGATCCTCTTGACTCTCAGCCAATCAGCTTCTGTCGGATTCTCCAACTTCCGTGATACTACCCCAACAGCATACGCGATATCGGGGCGCGTCCCTGTCATCAGGTATGCTAAGGCTCCTACTGCCTCTCGATAAGGAAACTTTTTCTCAGGTGCTTTCCCTGTTTCTGAAGTCACTGTTTCGATTGGTGTAGAGACGGGATTGCAGTCAATCATATTGAAGCGTTCGAGGATCTTCCGCGTATAAGCTTGTTGGCTTATAAATATAGATCCATCCTTGGAACGTTCTATTTCAAGGCCAAGGTAATACGAAGCCGGCTTGCTTGTGATTTTGACAGCTTGTCCCAGCTCCTTCAAAAATTTAGTTGCCAAAGCCTCGCTTGTAGTGGCCATGAGTCCGTCATCCACGTACAACGCCAACAAAATCTTATTGCCCCCTTCTGTCTTTGTAAAGAGACAACAATCAGCTTCATTCTGTGTGAATCCTTTTTGCAACAGAATGTCTTCAATGCACATGTTCCAGCAACGAGGAGCTTGCTTTAGGCCATATAGACTCCTCTGTAGCCTGCATACTTTCGAAGAGCCATCAGAAAAGCCAGGAGGTTGTGACATGTATATTTCCTGCTCTAATTTCCCATTTAAAAAGGCTGTCGCGACGTCAAATTGTGTTAAATGAAGTTTCTCTTGTGCAGCAACGCTTAAAAGAGCTCTAATGGTAGACATCCTGGCTACCGGACTATATGTCTCCTCATAATCTAGCCCTTTCCGTTGTCTGAACCCTTTAACGACCAATCGCGCCTTATATTTGTCTATGCTTCCATCTGGGTGTCGTTTAATCCGAAAAACCCATTTACATGGTAGCGCCTTTCTATTAGACGGGAGCTCGCACAGTGTCCATACATTATTCTCCTTGAGTGACTGAAGCTCGCTGGCCATGGCTTTCCGCCATTCCGCACCGTCAGTTCTACTTATTGCTTCATGGTAGCTCTCTGGAAAGTTTTCTGTGCCTACAAAGCAGACGTAGTCATCGAACTTCTTAGGGGGAGCAAGAGTTGACCTGTCTCTAAGGTTATATCTAGGTTCCTCTTCTCTCTGGGGCTCATCTCTCAGGGGCTCGACTACAATTTCCTCTTCTTCCCCTTCTAGTCGAGGCACCTCTACTCTCAGAGGCTCAACTATGTCAAGAGGTTGCTGTTCCCCTTCAGCCGGAAAATTCTCTTCCCCTTCAGCATCGACAAACTCTCCATCATCATCTTGCTCAGTAGTATCAGTAGCATCCTCAGACCCTAACCGTAATGTGAATTCAACATTACTTTGAAAAGTTATGTCTCTGGATTTGAATGTTTGATGTCCGTCCCACACACGATATCCATCGTCGTTTTCATAGCCAATAAGAATGCCTTTCATGGCTTTCCTAGACATTTTGTTACGCTTCTGCTTTGGGATATGTGCATAACATTCACTACCAATAACCTTGAAGTGTGATATTCGAGGTTTTTTGCCGTGCCATAGTTCGTATGGAACTTTGTCTGTCACTCGACTTGGGCCTGTTCTATTCAGAACATACGCTGCGGTATTAATCAATTCCGCCCACAAAATTTGCGGTAACTCATTCCTTGCATGCATCATACTTC